TTAAAGAGTTCCTTTAGTGGCTCTATCATTTCTTCAGATAAAATCTTATAATACCTAGAAGTCAGTCCATCTGTTCCAGGAGACTTTCCAACCTTTAACTGCTTAATAGCTAAGCCAATTTCCTCCACAGTAATTAAACTATTCATCCCATTTTGTTGTTCCTCTGAAAGTCTAGGAAAATGTACTGATTGTAAATATTTATCTATATCCAAACCCCTTATATTATCACTTGAATATAATTTTGTGTAAAAGTCCAAAAAGCTTTTTTTAATCAAATCTTGCTGAAAAACCTCAGTACCTTTATATTTTACTTTCTCTATAATTCTAGCTTTCTGTTTCTTTCGTAACTGATAAGCCAACCACCTCCCAGGCTTATTCGCATTGCAAAAAGTATTATGTCTCATATACGACAGATTGGTAGCCACCTGATCTGCCATCAACATGTTAAATTGTTCCTTAAGCATCTTTATAGATACCTTTAAATTATTATCAGTAGGGTTAAGAACCAACTCTTGTTCTTTTGATTTGATCTCTTCTTCTATTTCTCTACGTCTTTGTGACCCTTTTTCCCTAAAAACTTTATTCAATTGAATCAAAATTCCCCTCATATATGCTTTACTAGCGTCCCACACCATAGACATCGATGTTCCCTTATTCATATTTATAGTAAAAAAGTCCTTTAAATGTTCTTTACACTTTTGTACAAACTCCTCCCGATTAAATAAGTTCTCATTCAATCTCCAGGATCTTCTATTCCTGTCTTCCGAATATAACTCCATCCACACCGGACTATGATCTGACAATGTTCTAGGAAAAATTTTCACCTTCCTCACTCTAGGGAGGAAGTCACTAGTAATCAAAAAAAAATCAATCCTTGAAAATGACTGGTGTCTATCAGAATAAAAGGTAAAGTCTCTATCACTTGTATTCCTTTCTCGCCAAATATCAATAAGCTCCAATTCTTCCTTCAAATCAAAGAAAGTCATAGGTAATTTAGTTTGAATAAAAGTTTTAGAGGAACTTCTTTTGTCTATAGTTGGGTCTAAAACCCCATTCCAGTCACCCATCAAAATTACCGATTTATAATCCAACTGAGATATCTTGCCATGCAGCAACTTATAAAATTGTTTCTGTTGTTGATTGGGAGCATATAGTCCAACAATAAGAACCTTTCGGCCTTGTAATAATAATTCCACAAAAAGATATCTTCCTTCAGAATCAGCCTCAATTAGTTTAGCTGAAAAAGTTTTCTTCACATAAATTACCACTCCCCCTTTTTTCCCAGGGGCTGGAGCAGTAAAATGTGTGCCCAGACGGGAATTCATCAAAAATTTAGAATCCTTTAAAGTTATATGAGTCTCCTGCAAACATATCAAATCATTATTATGTTGTTTCAAATAATGGAAAATCTTTCTTCGTTTCTGGGGCACGTTTAAGCCATTAACATTCCAGGTCAGGAACCTGACCATCTCCACCGGCCTGGAGCCTCTGGAGCATGGCCTGTAGATCTGCTGTCGAAGATCTTTTTGGTCTTGCCCAGGGGATATCTATTTTAATACAGCCCGCACCTTTTCAGGATCCATCTCTATCCCTTCATGGGAAATGCAATACCCCAAATAGTCAATTTCGTCTTGGTAGAATTCACACTTGGACAGTTTAGCATATAGCTTAGCTGCCCTGAGGTTTTTCAGAACTGCATACATTAGTTTTATGTTTTCATCCATAATTTCAGTGTATATCAAAATATCATCTAAGTACACCAAAACCCCTTTGTACAGATGTTCATGCAGCACTTCATTGATCAACTGCATGAAAACAGCAGGAGCCCTCTGTAACTCAAAGAGGAGCACTCAGAACTGGAAACAACCCAAAGAGCAGTTGAAGGCAGTTTTCCATTCATCGCCATCCTTGATGTGGACCCTGTAATACGCTTCTCTTAGATCTAGTTTAGAAAAAAAATCCTTCCTTTAGCCAACTGCACTAGCATGCCTTTCATCAGAGGCAGAGGATAAACATTGTCCACACTCACAGTGTTGAACCCCTTATAATCCACACAGAAGCAAAGAGTCCCATCCTTCTCCCGGAACAACACTGGGGCTGCCACTCGTGGTCTAGCTGGTTGGATAAATCCATGTTTCAAATTCTTGTCAATAAAGGGGCAAAGCGTGTCTAGCTCACTTGGGGCCATTGAGTAGATCTTAGGCTTGGGGAGTTTTGCTCCAGAGAGGATTTCTATGCTGCAGTCCGTGGGGTGATGTGATGGCAGTGCATCAGAGCCCCATTCACTGAATGCCTCCCTTAAGTCCCAGTATTCATTTAGGATCTTTTCCTCCCCTTTTGGGCACTCCTGCATAGCAGCATCCAATTTCCTCTTTACCATGGCATTTTGTTTCTTAGGGGTTGGAGTCGCCTTCCTTTTCCCCCCAAGTTTGAGACTGATTTTTAGGAGCCTCCTCCAATTCACATGAGGGTTCCATTTATGAAGCCATGTAAGTCAAAGCAGACTTAACATTTCTCCATGCCAGGCACTATTATAAAACTCAAAGTCTCTGTGTGGCTCCCCATCCCCATTTCCACTGGCTTAGTCACGAATGGGCTGGGCCTCCCCCTGCCACCAATCCATTTAGTTGGCAAAAAGCTATGGGGACCTTAAGTCTACTTAACCTCAGTCCCATTTTTTTCACCACCTCTGGACTGACTACACATCTCATGCACGCTGAGTACAATATGACCAACATAGTCCCCTAGGTGCCTCATGAGGGCACCACTAGCTCACTGGGATGATCATAGGGATTACATGTTGACTTATCAGGGGGTTGTCATCAGAATCGGTGTCACTCTCCTCTGGAGAGGTTGGAGTTCCCAGCCTCCCCCCACTGCCAGGAGGAGCAAATTCAAGGATCTCTACTCCCTCTAATGCTGTTTTGCTGAATTGTGGTGAAGGCTTCTCAGCCTTCCTTCCACTGATGGTTACAGGCTTCAGGCTGGTTTTGGTGGAGCAGCATTGTGCAGCCTGGTGCCCCTCCTTCCCGGACTTGAAACTTGCTCTGGACCACAACCTAGGTGCTGGTCCCCTTTTGAAGCTTTTAGGGCTTCTTTACAAGTATGAGTGGGGGTGAAGACTTGCTCCAACCATGGCTACCTCTGGCGAAATCAATCTCCACTTAATCTGCCAGCACATACCAGTGCTGTAGGGGGGGGGCTGTGAGATGCAGATGTGGTAGACTTCATCGTTGAGGCCATCCTTAAAGCACTCGATCAGGATCTCTTCAGGCCATGTGGCTAGCTGGCCCATCAACCCTCAAAACTCTTGGATGTACATGGCCACTGACCTCCACGCTTGGGTAATGGTCTTCATACATCCCTGCGTTCTGAGTCCTTGAACTGTTGGTGATTGCCATAAAATGGCTGTAGTCCCACAACTGGGGAGCATTGTCATTGTGGAGGAAAACCATCCATTCGGTAGCTGTACCCTCCAGCACCTGAGTCACGCATCTTACTTGGGCTGTTTCCATCCCCACTTCAGTCTCATACTCCTGAATGTAGTTCCAAACTTGCGCCAGGAAGAATCCCAATTGCTCGGAGTCTCTCTCATATATCACCCCCAAGGCTGGAGCCGTTGAAGCCCAGTGTCTCTGAGGAGCAACCCCTGCAGGTGGAGGGACTTTGCAGCAGCTACTGCTGCTGATGGCACTGCTTGCACTGGCATTTGTCCAGGTGGGATAGGCATGGCTCCCACTCTAGTAGCTCAGTCTACGGTTTGGTTCGTGGTGACCCAAGAAGCCTGGGTAGTCATTTGTGCGAGGGTTTTCTGGGTTCTTCGACTCTCCATCACCTCTTGTATCAGGAATAGGGATTGGTTTAGCATGGCCTCCTCCAGGGTTTCCTCAAGGGGGGGGTCTTCCCTCTTCCCCATGCCCAGTGACCATCTGACATGTTTCTCGTTGTGGTTCAGCTCCCCTTGCTGCAACTCCAGGGTCCTCCAGCTTGCTCCCAGGGCTTGACATTTGATGCTCAGTCTCCACGGTAGACGGATGTCTCCAGGTTGACCATTAAAGCAGATCTTGTTTGCTGCCCCTAATGTCAGGGCTGCCTCCGTTCAATCCCTAGGAAAGAAAACCACTCCATAGTATTAGAGAAAAGGTACTTTTACTAGGAAAGAACTGAATACAGCAAATGTGAGGCAAGATCTTTCCACAAATTAGAGTGGTCACAGTGCTTCTTCTTATTTTTAAAAAATATTTACAACAAACATACAAGTTAAACATTATTACAATTGATAGAAAAGGGAGCATTATATAAATAAATTTCTTATTTATTGCAATACCGATTACCAAAGTATTTGCTATAGTTGAAAACTTTTAAAAGTTTAAATTTGTGATTAAAATTTATTGAAAAGATTATATTCCAAAGAGGGAAAACACCAGGTAATTATCACAGTACTGAAAAAGAATGTGCTGTTCCATTTCTGATTTTTAAATTGTTTAATTTTCATTTTTCACAATATTTATGCCAAGTTGCAAACACTGTCTTGATTTCTTTTGGATTAGGTAAACTACCTAATCCAAAAGAAATCAAGACAGTGTTTGCAACTTATTTCTATGTAAAAGTTTCTACTATTGAGGAACTAAAAGACTGATTAAAAATGTGAGTCCTTAAATTTTGGATTTATTTTTACCCTTTTTTAAAAGATGTATTGCTTTACAATTAAGAATACCAAAGAAAAAAAGAAAAAAAGAACAAAACACAAAAGAAGTAGTAATGTTGATGCATACATTATCAAAAAGAAAAAGACATAAACAGTTCTTTAACAAAAAAAAGAACATTTTATGTGTTCTTTTTTTCTCTGACAATGGATTTATTTTTATTCTTAAGCAAATTTATAACAAATAGCTTTTAATTTGAAGGAACTGATAAGTATGTATTTATCATCATTATCTAAGTAAACATTAATCTTGCAGTCTGATGTAGCATTTTTACTGGCTTTTATGTTCTTCCAGAGGGGTATTTGATGCATCTCTCAAAATGGCTGGATTCTATGGTCTATATACTTGGCTGACTCATACCATCTTTGGAATAAACATTGTCTTCATACCCTCAGGTGAGAAAAAAAAAGTGGAATGTTTGTGTTTATGTTAATGCTCATGATCATGCTCCATTTTGGTAAGTGTTGACATTTTATCAGAACTTTATGTAATATTCAGTACTGAATCCTACACCATACAAACTATATAAATCCTTACATTAAGCCGATTAACAGAATAATAGAATTGGAAGGGACTTTGGAGCTCAAGCAGGAAACTCTATATTGATTGGATGAAATCTGAATCCAGCCAAGGATAGGTAACATTCACCTTTCACGTGCTTAACTTATCAGATCCCATGACATCCAAAGCGGTAAAAGTACAAGTGAAAAAGAATGTATTAGAGCAGCATCATTTGGTTCTAGCAGGTGTTTGAATAGCCACATCATATTTAAAAGCCTCATCTGGCTCTCGACCAGGCTCAGCTACTTGGAGTTTAAGATGATACTTCTTTTCCTGGATGCATATAAAACTGATTTAAAATAAACTCACATCTGCCATTTTAAATATAGGCAGGGTATTTTTATTCATTAGCAACAAACGCCCCTTATATTTAGAGTAGTGTATCATTGTTTCAATTGTTATTTTATTCTGTGTTTTACTTAAAAGGGAAAAACTTTTTTAAAAAATTACCACTACAATTTCTTGGAACAGAGATCAACTGGGACAGCCTGGGGATCAGTCAAGACAAAGATGTTCCCATACTTTTGTTCAGTTACTGACAACAATTAGAGCAAAGTCAGATCTTAAATGGAGAAATCCTCCTCTTTCAGGCAGGGAGGATCCCTGCCAAGTCTCAGGCAGACAACACCAGTTCCAAGAGAAGACCACAGCAAAGGGTCAGCACTGAGCTCATCACCTGCAGCACCAGTCTTAGGTCTTTATAAGTTTCCTCACTAGGAGAGAGTCAAAAAATTGTGCTTATGGCAGAAACATTTTTTTTTTTCAGGAAACGTTCTACATGCCTAAATTTATTGAAATCTAATTCATCATGTTGATTTGACCCACTCTATTCAGGTTTCTTAATTGTAATTTTAAATGTAAAGGATTGTAATAGCAATTCTAATTTCATAGAATTTCTTAGCAATTTCTTCCCTTTTCTGATTAATGTCTCCTTTTTCGTTTTATTATAGTTTGGCATCTATCAATGTAATTAAACCTCTTTATCCCCTTGATATGTGTGTCAACAAGAATGTGATAACTCAGTGGTACAAGGTTGCCTAATATTGAGGATTTAGATTTATAAGGGAAATGAAAATTAATTATTAGGGAATAGCTTCGAATTGTTGTTTAGCCCAGATAACACAGACGATGGATTTGAGATAATGAAGGATACGTCATTGGTAAGTAGTGATGTACTAGGATGAGAAATAGAAAATGTTTATGAAATAAAATAAGAATATATTCAAGTAAGTAATAGGTATTTTTTTTAAATATTATAATTTTTATATAGTGAAATAAAGGAAATTTGAGTTACCTGAAATTTAAATACTATGGATATTAAAGGTTAAATTGGAATATTGTGATTAAAAATTAAAAATCAGGTCAAATTTAAATACAGGATATGGATATGAATAAGCAAAAATATAATGATAAATGTTTTAACTGAGCTTGTTATAATTAGACATTTACTAGCTTAAATATGATATAGCAAATGTTAAGGGAAATAGAGAAGGAATTTTTTGATGATGTAACCTGAGATATGTACTAAGGATTTTGTTATTGTACTATTGACTATCCAATTACCACACTGCTTTCCAAATACTCAAATGTAAAACTGAAAAACCAATAAAAACTTGTTATAACAAGGTTGTCATAATATAATTCTTACTAGTAAAAATGAAGTTCAACTAAGAAAATCTATACTCAATGCAATATAGAATTACAGAATAACAGTTTGAAGGGACCTTAGAGGTCTTCTAATCCAATACCCTGCTTAAGCAGGAGACCCTAAAATATTCCAGAGAAAAGGCTGTCCAATCTCTTCTTAAAAACTTCCAGTGAGGTTTTTAAAGAAAGAAAATAAAGGAATAAATAAATAAAGGAATTAAATTGGCTGCCTTCTTTACTGCTGAAAAGGTATAGAAATCCTCAAAGAATACATGAAATGTGGACCAAACATTTCACAAGACTTTAAAAAGGGGGAACTATATTACTTTTGTCATAGTTGCTAGGTGTCCCTTCTACAGTTGAGTCGTGTTTCAGAATTTCTTGAGGATTCTGTAACTAAGGAATCTCCAAACTTTTCAGTCTAAGGGCCACATTCGACATATTGCAAATATTCGAAGGCCAGTGGAAAAAATCGGTTTTATAAATAAGTGAATAAAATGTAATTGAATGTGTTTTATATTGCTCAGTGTCAATGCTGCTAACATTGAATGTTCTTGCTTTGACAACATATGGAGATGCAGCCTTTTTCTTTCTTAGGCTTTAGTCTTAGAATTAGATGATACTGGGGGGGAGGAGGAATGTGATGGGAGTTAGTTAGACATAACAATATTGTAATAGTGTGTGAACTCAGAGCTTTTGAAATAAAAGATGATAAGAAATGGCAGATTGGAAGACTGAAGGGAAAGCCTGCATTTCAAACTAATTGGAGAATGTGATTTATGACTGTTAATTAGAGGAGGGAATTGTGTTTGATACTATGTGCTAAAGGGAGGTGAATTCAGATTTTGGTTTTGCTTATGTATGTGCCGATGCTATGCTGCTCAAATAAAAATTCTTTAAGGTAAACAATGCCTCAAAGTTCTTTGAAGAGTTTCATCTGTCGGAACCATGACATTAAGCAAAAATCTCCAGCTTTCCTAACTATATAGGGGTCCTGAGCCCCAGTCGCTATCCCTAGAATAGAGGGATAAGGTGACAAAGATTTGGGGAAGATTTCATCATGGACCAAGAGAAAATGCCTGAAGCTAGTGCCCCGGCAGCAGCTGCTATCCCAGGGGCGGGAGTGACAGCCAGCATGCCAGTGGAGAAGGAGCTTTTTCAAGCCTCCCAGATGGGGAGAGCTACCAGGATGTCTGCTACTGAGGACTCGGATAAGTGGAAATACCTGTCTGCAGCTAATAGTCAGTCACTGGAGAAGCTGGTGGAAAATTTTGAGGGGCTAGAAATGAGAAGCAGAGAACAACCTTCCCATTCCCCATACGCCAGCGATCAGGATGATCGATGAGGCAGCCATCAACCCTGCCGATAGGAACACCCAGCCCCTCCTTCACAGATCAGGTAGTCCTCCTGTCCCTGAAGCCCCCTACCAGGGCCTCCAGCCCCACAAAGAGAGACAGCTCCAGTTCCCACCCCATCAGAAGCCCCAACCGCCATCAACAATGTGAGGGCCTGGGCAGTTGCCCAGACCGGTGTGCATATCGATCACTGAATCTGGGCCCCCTGCAGCAATGAGGAATTTGGCAGCCCCTGCATGTGGGAGATCAACAATCTCTGAGCCTGCAGCAGCTAATGGAGGCCTTGCAACAACTGGGAGTGATGCAGAGGTCAGAAGACCAGCAACTGGTGGGAGGACAGCCGCAGCAAGGGGGATGGTCACCACCCCCTAATGTACAGCAACCACTGAGGGGCCCGCAGATGATGGAGATCCAGCAACAACTCCCTCCGAGGCCACAGGAGGCCCTACAGCAATTGAGGATGCCACAGCTCCCGTCAGACCAACAGCAGGGGGAATGGCAACAGCCCCTGAACGTATAACCCTTGGGAATGCAGCAGCAGCCAGGGTGGAGGCCCAGCAGCAACTGGGAGTGCAACAGCCATGGTGGGGGGCCCAGCAGCCATTGATTGCTCCACCCTTTAGAACAACCTTCGATGGAGACCCAGAGAAACTGATTTTTTTTCTCAACCAAGTGCACTCTCATTTGAACCGCTGTACCTACCCAGCTGCTATGGTCGATGTGATTGCATCCAGCTTAGAGGGAGAGGCATCTGAATGGCTGAATAATTTATATAATGAGCAAGCCCCCGAATTGGAAGACCCCCACCTCTTCTTCCTAGTACTGAGAACAAGGTTTGAGGACCCATCCATTGCCCTCAAAGCAGAAGAACAAATCCACAAGATAAAACTGGCCGGCAAGCCTGCACTGGGGTATGTATGAAAGTTTTGCAAGACAGCTGGCCACATAGAAAGGTGGCCTGAGCGGTCCCTAGTCCACCACTTCAAAGAAGGGTTGGACGATCATCTCTCTCAGGCATGCATCTATCGAGCAGTACTTGATCAACTGCAAGAGTGGTACCATACAGAGGTAAGAGTAGACATTCAGGTCGCCTGCTACAAGAAACCTCCCTCACATGAAGCCAAGCAGAGGCCAGACAATCCAAATGGCAACCACCACCCCCGAAAACCTCAGACTGCTACGACTGCTGAAAGACCCAAGCCACCTGCAATCAAGTGCTTTCGATGCAGACAGCAGCGATATCGTAAAGCGAATTACCCAGTCCCCTACTCCCAAAAAGCAGAATAGACCAGGACCAGTAGTGAGAAAGAAACCTGCCCAGCAGCCAACAAGAGAGAAATCCAACTGGATCACTCAGGAATCCATTACCCAAATCACATCTCCCACACAGGAGGATGCCGGGACTCAGGCTGGACCCGCCCCCACTCTACCCTCTTTCAACAGTGACGACAAAGGAGAGAATGACCCGATGGTCCCACCTTTCTCACTACCTGCCAAACTCATAATCCCTAAGGGCACAGGTAGATTTAAAAGTGCTAGTTGATTCTGGATGCTCCCAATGCGTCATTAACTTGACATTTGCCATGAAAATGGGCATACAGGCAAAACTGCTCTCCAAACCTGTGAGGTTTGAGCAAGCCAATGGCTCCCTGATGGGAGGGACTTTAGTCATGCAATTAACTGAGCCCCTACGCCTAGAAATAGGTGAATACTAGGAGTTTATTCACTTTTTAATGGCTCCAAAAATGACTGAGGCTGTGATCCTAGGATTAGCTTGGTTGGACAAATGGAAGCCACTTATCTGGTGGGAGAAACGAATGAGAACCGTGAGGCTACCTATAGGGCCTAAATCCCCCATTGATTCAACAGATGTTATAGGAAACTTCAGCCCACCTAATGATGAAGTACATATGGCTGCCTTACTGCCACCAGGTGAGCCACTCATCCCCAATGAGTACCAGGACCTAGCGGAGGCATTTAGTGAGAAAGAATGTGATGCCCTGCCTCCTGACCGACCCAATGATTGCTCTATCGAACTGTTGCCAGGAGCCAAACTCCCACGACTGAGAATGTACGCTGTGTCCTCCCTCAAAATGGAGGAGATGCAGCGATACGTGGATAAAAATCCAGTGAGGGGATTCATTGAATGGGCCAAGTCTGCAGTGGAGGCCCCTGTGTTTAAAGAAAAAAAAGATTGGTCTCTTTGTCTCTGGTAGACTATAAGGGTCTCAACCCTGTGAGTGTGGAAAATAAATACCCCCTCCACCTCCACCTCCTGAAGGACTTACTAACCCACCTAGCTAAGGGGAATGTCTTCACTAAATTAGACCTGAGAGAGGCATATTACCAGGTGAGAATAAAGGAGGAAGACGAGTGGAAAACTGCCTTCAAGTGCCCTATTGGGAGCTATGAGTTCAAAGTCATGCCATTTGGACTACAGGGGGCCCCAGCCGTATTCATGCAGGATTAATGAAGTCCTACATGGTCATTTATACAAAGGGGTTCTGGTGTATCTTGATGACATCCTGATATACAGCACGAATATGACTGATCATATAAAGCTGGTGAGAGAAGTGTTAAAGAAACTATTGAATGCCAAGCTTTATGTTAAACTGTCAAAATGTGAATTTCACCAGACCCAATTAGATTATCTTGGCTATAGAATTTCCAATGAGGGCATTGAAATGGACCCAGCCAAAGTGAAAACTGTAATTGAATAGCAGCCCCCAAAGACTCGCAAACAGCTCCAGAGCTTCCTAGGTTTTGCCAACTTCTACTGTCAATTCATCCCCTCCTTTGCCGAGATTGCCCTACCCCTTACAGAACTACTCAAAACAGGCAAAGGAGGAGGGAAGCTGCGACTATCCAACCACTATCATGGACTATGAGCTGTCAAACCGCTTTTGAGAATTTAAAAAGACTATTTGCTATTGAACCGGTCCTAAAGCACCCCTACCCAGGGGAGCCCTTTGTAATTCAAGCTGACGCCAGTGACTTGGTCATCAGAGCTGTATTACTGCAAAAGAATCAAAAATGGGGCCTTGCAACCCTGTGCCTACACCTCGAAAAAATTTAATGAAAGCGAAAGGAGATGGGCAATCTGGGAAAAAGAGGCTTTCGAAATCAGATGGATTCTATTAAAATGGAAACACCATCTAGAAGGAAGCAAGGTGCCTGTTGAAGTATGGACAGATCACAAAAATCTAGAAGCATTGAAAACATCCTGCAAATTGTGCCTGAAACAGGTGCACTGGGCACAATACTTTAATTAGTTTAACTTCACTCTAAAGTACATTCCGGGAGGGAAAACCTTCCTAGCTGATGCTTTATCCAGACTGTCCCAGTACAAAAGCCAGCACAAAGAGATTGATAAGGCAATTATCTCCAATCCACAAACTGCTGCTCAATTAATGCCTCACAGGGCCCCTAATCCTGATGACCCTGGGGCAAAGAAAATAAAATAAGAGCTTCTCACCGATCAATGGTTCAAGTACAATCAAACCTCCCTAACATGCAGGGATGGTTTGGCTTACAGGGGGGGGGGGGAATTGTACTTGCCAGAAGCCCTCTGCCTTAACGCTCTCAAACACAGCCATGACGTAAAACAGACTGGACACTTTGGATATTTAAAAACTTACATCTCATGCCACCGTGAAAAGAAGTCCAGGGAAACTCCCTGGGTTACTGCAGCCGATGCTATGCTGCTTGAATAAAGATTCTTTAAGACAGTGGTTCTCAACCTGTGGGTCGGGACCCCATTTGGGGGTCAAACGACCATTTCATGGGGGTCGCCAAACAACGCAGTCTGCCATTTTTTTCCCCCTTTTCCTTAGCTGTGCTACTCCCTTTTATTCTGTTGGCTTTTGAAAGCCAATAGAATAGACTCTCTTGAATAGAGTCTAATTCTATTGGCTTTCAAAAGCCAATAGGAATTGTCCAGGCTGTCTCTGCCCTGCCAAAAGTCCCATTCTGCAAACGGTGCTGCACCAGTTGAGTAGTCCTCGACTTACAACCGGTTGGGAGTTGCAGCATTAAAAGGTTGAGAACCACTGCTTTAAGATAAACAATGCCTCAAAGTTCTTTGAAGAGTTTCATCCATCAGAACCATGACACTCAGTGTAATATGATTCATAACAGCAGCAAAAAAGAAATGTGACAATTATGAAGGAACAGTACTATTCTTACACAGACGAATGATATAAGAAAACTGTCAGACATTAGCAAATGCTCTGAAGAAATAATAAATTAATCCAATCTAGGTCAGTCATCGAGCCAAAAGTTTACTCTTCCAAGGTTCATTCATTTCCTTCATTCATATTAAATTAATAATTGCAAATGAGAAAAGAAAACTATTTTATTTAGCTAAATTTTAGAAATTTATAAAAGAATCTGCCCAATTGGTGCAAATATTAAACAGGAAGATGCTTCTTCATCCAGCAACCTTCCAACTGGTTCACAACTGGCTCACAACCCCTAGCATCAGAAAAATGGTGAATACAATCCTGCTTTCTTTTCCTATGCTGTTTGGAAAAGATTGGAGCACAGCCTATGGGATGAGCTGGCAGGCTGGAAGAAACTTTCCAGAGGGCCAGATGTAGCCCACGGACTGTAGTTTGGAGACTCCTGCTTTAACTGAAGAAACACCCAAAAGCACAAGGATTTGCAAAGGAGAAGAATGGGCAAGAGTTTTCCATGGTAACCATTCTTGTTCTGATGCTGCCTTGACTATAAATGAGGATCTTCTAATTCAACTTACAGTATTTTGTTATTTCTATCATTATAACTATTCCTCATGTAATTAATACCAGGTTATGATGTCTTAATTCTTGATTCCTTATCCAGTGGCACTGAAATTCAAGATATGCTAGCCCATTTTGTTTTATAAGCAAAGTAATTATAAACTCTTTTATCTTGCTTTCTTATATTCTATTTAAGTTTTCTTTGAATTTAAGTATTGGTATGAGATATAGTTGCAAAATAATTGTGGAATTACATTCCTAAATAATTAATTGCAAATGTTACATTTTCCTTTCTAATTCTAAACTTCATATCTTCTTAGCTCTGGCTGCTATACTTGGAGTAGTTCCATTTTTGGGAACATATTGGGCAACCACACCTGCAGTTCTAGATCTTTGGCTTGTTCAAGGAAAAGGATATAAAGCTATGCTTCTCTTCATTTGTCATCTATTGCCAACTTACTTTGTAGATACAGCAATCTATTTGGATATATCTGGGTGAATATTTTAATGTTTTTCTTTACTATACTGAAAAAAGTTCTGTAACAGATTAGCCAACATCCAGAAATATTTAGATGAATTATTTATATTAACACAGGAATCCTTATTATGCATAATGTTAAAAGAAAATAAGCATAGATGCCACTCTAAAAATTATGATGATTTTCAAAACCATATAGTAGTTATGGATTAAGTTATTTTCAGGAAATAGAAAATTTATAAAATGTATAAAGTGTTCTTCTGTGTGACAAAAGACAGCATAGATAGTTGATGTGTGCAGTGGAGGGAATATCATTGGACAGAATATAAGTATAGAATAGTTCAGACTTCCTTGATCACTGGCATATCTTCAGGAACAAATGTGACACATGGGGAAAAATCCTTAGAAGGATGGCTTAAATATTCATAGTTTTCTTCAACCTTTCTTACTTAGACCCTTTACCATGTTTCAAATTCTATTTTTCTCTTTTCTGTACAAGTCATGTTTTTGTGTCTGCACAGAAATATATCTATCTCTGCTTGTGATTAGATATTAACTTCCTGCTTTTTGTGTCTTCTGATAACTCAGCATATAAAATCAGCTTTGCACTGATAGTTTTTAAATGACATTTCAGTAATTTAATTTATTATTTGATTGCAGAGGAGGTCATCCTTATCTGACAGGTCTTGCAATAGCTGGTGGAACATATTACCTAGGACTGGAAGGAGCCATCATAGGACCTATACTCCTTTGCATTTTTATTGGTGCCTCTAATATCTACAGGGCTGTGCTTGTGAGTCCGACAAATTAATTACAGATGCATCAGCCTTTGAAGATTTACTGGTAAACGTTCATTCATCTATTTGTTAGTTTTATATCCTGCCTTACAGAAGCCTTTAAAATATAACTTTTGGGATGCATTTAATCAATAACTTATTTACATTAATACTCATGTTAAAGCATGTGTGCATACATTAGTAGGTATTTAGTAGATATGTAGACACACACACAGGCAGAGAGAGAGAGAGAGAGAGAGAGAGAGAGAGAGAGAGAGAGAGAGAGAGAGAGAGACAGAGAGACAGAGAGACAGAGAGACAGAGAGACAGAGATAACAATGAAAAGATAAATTTCAGATTTCCTATTAAGGAAATAATAATAAAACTACAGTGAGGGGAAAAATTATTTGATCCCCTGCTGATTTTGTACATTTGCCCACTGACAAGGAAATGATCAGTCTATAATTTTAATGGTAGGTTTATTTTAACAGTGAGAGACAAAATAACAATAACAAAAAATGCAGAAAAAAGCATTTCAAAAAAGGTATAAATTGATTTACATTTTAATGAGTGAAATAAATATTTTGACCCCCTATCAATCAGCAAGATTTCTGGCTCCCAGGTCTCTTTTATAAGGTAATGAGCTGACAATAGGAGCACTCTCTTAAAGGGAATGCTCCTAATCTCAGCGTGTTACTTATATAAAAGACATATGTCCACAGAAGCAATCAATCAGATTCCAAGGATGTCAGGGACAAGACTGTAGACCTACACAAGGCTGGAATGGGATACAAGGCCATTAGTTTGCAGTTTGGTAAGAAGGTGACAACAGTTGATCCAATTATTCGAAAATGGAACAAACACAAAATAACTGTCAAACTCCCTCAGTCTGGGGCTTCATGCAAGGTCTCACCTCGTGGAGTTCATGAGAATGGTGAGGAATCAGCTCAGGATTACACGGGAGGATCTTGTCAATAATCTCAAGGCAACTGGGACCATAGTCACCAAGGAAACAATTGGTAACACACTACACCATGAAGGACTGAAATCCTGCAGTGCCCACAGTGCTCAAGAAAGCACATGTACAGGCCCAACTGAAGTTTGCCAATGAACATCTGAATGATTCAGAGGAGAACTGGATCAAAGTGTTGTGCTCAGATGAGATCAAAATTGAGCTTTTTGGCATCAACTCAACTCGCTGTGTTTGGAGGAGGAATGCTGCCTATGACCCCAAGAACACCATCCCCACCATCAAACATGGAGGTGGACACATTATGTTTTGGGAGTGTGTTTTTTGCTAAGGGGACAGGACAACTTCACTGCATCAATGGTGCGATGGATGGAGCCATGTACCATCAAATCTTGGGTGAGAACTTCTTTCCCTGAGCCAGGGCATTGAAAATGGGTCATGGATGGGTATTCCAGCATGACAATGACCCAAAACACACAGCCAAGGCAACAAAGGAATGGCTCAGGAAGAAGCACATGAAGGTCCTGGAGTGGCCTAGCTGGTCTCCAGACTTTAATTCCATAGAAAATCTGTGGAGGGAGCTGAAGGTTCAAATTGCCAAATGTCAGCCTCGAAACTTTAATGACTTGGAGAGGATCTGCAAAGAGGAGTAGGACAAAATCCCTCCTGAGATGTATGCAAACCTGGAGGCCAACTACAAGGAACATCTGACTTCTGTGATTGCCAACAAGAGTTTTGCCACCAAGCACCAAGACGTGTTTTGTGAAGTGGTGAAATACTTATTTCACTCATTAAAATGCAAATCAATTTATAACTTTTTTGAAATACATTTTTCTGGATTTTTTTGTTGTTATTCTGTCTCTCATTGTTAAAATTAACCTACCATTAAAATTATAGGCTTGTCAGTGGGCAAACAAAATCAGCAGGGAATCAAATAATTTTTTCTCTCACTATAATAAAAATTAGTCTAGTAACGACATTGTCAAAATATGGATTTTTTTCTTATGTAATTTCTGTATTTAATGTTTATGTGACTTGAAAAAATGTTAAAAAGGAAATAATAAATAAAAATAAATTGAAAAAGATGAAGATGCAAAATTATTCAGATGAAATAATTTGTAAATTGATATCCTTTCTGCTAATTATTTCACATTTATAAATTCTATGACTTTTTAAAGTACACATCAATGAGATTAAAAAATGATTCCCTGCAGATTTTACTCCACTAGTCGTTGCTGACTATAGGGGGTGGTGCTCATCTCCGTTTCAAGGCCATTGAGCAAGAGCTGTCCAAAGACTTTTCTTCGGACATGTGGCCAGCATGATGTCACAGTGCTGTTACCTCCCCACCAAAGTGGTGCCTATTTATTTACTCACATTTATATGCTTTCACACTGCTAGATGGCAGGATGAGAATAACCTCAACCGCAGACAGTTGCTCCTTATGAGAAAACTGCAAGACAACAGTCTGCAATTTAAAGCTCTGGGGGAATAAGGGAATAGCCATATTTGTCAAACCACAGCCAATGCCTTAAGACCAGTGGTTTGCACACTTACTTTTCTATTCATTTTCCTAAATTGCTTGTTAGTTACTTTTTAGCTATTAAGAAACTTTGGATTGACAAGTCTGAAAACACCGGGTGAGTTGCCTTCAATCTTCAATCAATTCAATTAATACAGAATGAAGCATATTTTAACATTGGACATATTGAAGAATATGAAGAAACTTGATGGTTTTAATAATTAAAACGGAGTACAAACCAAGAGAGTGATCTGAATAATTTTCCTGTCTTGGATTTACAAAACAGGCTTGTTAAAGGCTATTAAAGCCTTCAAGAATTTTGTGAGAAGACACCAATTTTTTTAAAAAATAAATCAAGTTCTAGGACAGGGTCCCCATCCTAGGCTGTCGCCCAGTACCAGGCTGCGGCCTATTCATAACAGGACCGCACAAGAGGCAGCCCAGTTCCCCTCTTCCTATCCCACAGATGGGCTGCCAAATCACCTCTTTCTGCTGCTCCAAACATGGGGAACAGTGAGACGAGTGGGAGTGTGCCTTGCTCAGTTTTGTTAACTCACTGAGGCTGACTGCACAGGACACCAGATCCACTTTTAAAGCGTTAGGCAGCCTCAATGAGTGTAAAGGAGCATGCGACCATGCCCCTAAAGGCTTCTCTGCACCAAAAACTTTTGCAAACAGACGAAGGGCTTTGGGGAGTGATCTTATGCTGTTTCAGGCCTTCTGTCCCTTTGCAAAGGCTTTTAGCATAGAGAAACCTGAAGGAGGCTTCTCTTTTTTCTTGCACAAGTTGAGCTGCGTGTACACATGCTCCAACCCACCTCTCATGTGGCCCAGTTCTCTCCCCAGCCGGGCCACTAAGCCACAAAGATTGGGGACAGCTGTTCTAGGACATTATTTGAAGGATTAAGATCAAGATTGTTAAAAAAATATCTGCTGTTAATGCAGTTATCTATTATTGTAAAAAAATTGTAAAAAAAATGCTCAGTCACTTTGCCCCTTTAATACACTTTGATCAGATGACTAGATACAATTCAGTGGTACTTACTGACAGCTATTCTATCTATCCAGGTCTGCCTAACTTAGGACTTAAATATATTATTAAAGGACTCATTTACACAGTGATGCTTAAAAGTTTGTGAAACCTTTTGAACGTTTGATACAATTGATAGAAAAGGGAGCACTACACAATTTCTTACTATTTATTGCAATAAAGAGTAGTCAAGGACTACCTGTATTAGAAAACTTTTAAAAGTTTAAAAATATGATTACAATTCTGTATAGTTTAAATATATGATTAAAATTCTGTATAGATTATATTCCAAACGGAACAATACCATATAATTATCACATTACTTTAAAAGGATGTGTTGCATTTCTAGTTTTTAAATTGTTTAATTTTCATTTTTCACAATATTTGTGTCAAGCTGCAAATACTGTCTTGTTTCCTTCTGGATTCTGTATTTTAAGTATTATTTTATTTATTTTATAAAGTATTTCTATTAAAAGCTTTCTACTATTCAGGAATTAAAAGATTGATTTAAAATGTGAGTCCTTAAAGTTTGGGTTTATTTTTGCCCTTTTTTATTTTTTGTTGCTTTTTAATTAATAATACCACAAAAAAGAGCAAAACACAAGAGTAGCAGTAATATTGATACATACATTATTAAAAAGAAAAAAAGACCTATAAACAGTTCTTTAACCAAAAAAATAATATTTTTATGTGTTTTTTTTCTCTGACAGTGGATTAAATATATTATTAAAGGATGTATTCAAAAAGTTTGTTAAACCTTTTGAATCATTGATATTTCTGCATAAATACGACCTAAAATGTGATCCGTTTTCCACACAAAGGGAAACTAATGTCTCTCACTCATACCTGAGGACTATCCCATGATTGAAATCTTAATTTCCCCTTTAAATGAACAAATAATCGTATGAGTTCATATACTTTTGCCACACAGAAATAGGTAGTTTTAAATAATTTTTGTCAGTAAATAAAGGAATCTGTATAATGTTTTTGACTCATTTGTTTAATTGGATTTTCTTTGCCTAGTGTTATAACTTATGTGGAGAATTGTGATTACTTCCCTGGACGATTCCCCAGATACCTCTCAAGATGTCAGATTGGGGGAGGATGAAACCAGTTCTTGGCACATCAGGAGCTGAGTTGATTGATGGCTCCGAGCAGCTGTCTATGTAGGATTTGGCTGAGGCTTCAGGCAGGGAAAGCATGCAACTGCAGCCAGTCAGTGAGGAAGAAGAGGAACTGCCTTCTGCACCTGATCCAAGAACATGTAGGACAGAGAAAGACCAGTATCTTCAGCCAATTGGAACACAGAAATGTTTTGGAATAATAGGCACTTAGGGTGCCTGGCCTTGGAATAAGATGCAAATTGGTACCAAGCTTCTCTGGTCTTCATCATCTATCATTCTTCCCTCCCTATTTCCAATTACATATAGACACAGCTTTATTGCCCATCTATCCTACCCCTCCCCTTTCTAACCTTTGATGGCAGGATGCTTGTGAAGTGCCAAGCCACACCTAGCAGACTTGACATTCTGCCCCCCTTGATAGAGTATCCTGCAAAGGAAAAAGAAGAGGGGAGGGAGAGATACACAGAATGTATCCAATTAGCATACAATTTAGATTTACCTGGGTATGGTTCATGGAATTTTTAAAGCCATCTGGAGGCCTTAATGTGTTAGAAATTGACCCATTCTGTCTCTGAAGGAGGAAAGTCTTTCCATGCTACTAAGTACTAGATTTCCCCCCAATGTGTATGAGAGTCCAAAATGTCTCTAAATTACCAAGACTGTTTTCAAGATGATGGACAATTTAGTACTAATAGACTCATGGAGAATAAAAATGGCTCTGATAGAGAGTATACTTTTTTTTTCTCAGAAAGACACAAATCTTTTTCAAGGATTAATATGATATGGATTTTTTAAAAACTTGCAAATATAATTTTAAAAGTTGATATTCTACCTAAATCTTTTTCTGACATAATCGAGTGCTTTTAGTACTTAAAGGAAGGAGTTTGCACTTTAGATGGAGACTAAATAAATCTATTCTGCAAAAGGAAATGATTGTAAAAAGAAATTATTTGAGCATTTTGATAATAATTTAGATCATGAGTGTCAAACTTGCAATATCATGTGACATGTCGTGACGTATTGCGACTTTTTCCCCATTGCAGGCAATGAGGTGGCATAGTTTTGGTGTGATGCATCTGGCCTATGGGCCAGCAGTTTGATATCCCTGCTTTAGATAAAGGGACAAGTTTAATGACTGTGTTGGACGGTAGTAAAGCTGTTATTTTATATAGTATAATCAATTATAGAAGAAAAAACTTCAGGAAAAGATGCAAAAGATTCAGACAGAAAGAAATCGAACTGCAAAAGACATGGACTCTAAAATTTTACATTAAATTAAACTGCTACGGCAACAACTGTCCATGTTAACAATACAAGAAATAGAAACAAAATTGAAGTATGTGAAAAAAAGACACTTTGAGTTTGCAAATAAACCAGGAAGATGGTTGAGATATAAAAGAAGAAAGGAAAGGGAAAAGCGAATGATTAAGAAAACCTGTGAAGGTAGCAATGTAAAAATGGACAATGAACTTATTAAAAAGTCGTTTCAACTTTTATTCCAATTTGTATAAAAAACGAGTTAGACATGTCTAGAATAGATGGATATCTTTTAAGACAACAGTTGCCTAAATTATCACAAACCCAGAGACAACTTATGAATGACCCAATAACTACTTTTGAGATATCAGAAGATATTTAAAAAATGAGATCAGGTAAAGCTCCAGACACAGATGGGCTTAAAAGCCAATGTTATAAGTATTTTGAGGATGAACTTCTTCAGCCACTAAAGGATATAATGAATGAAACATTACCGGGGGGGGGGGGCGAAATACCCCAAACGTGGAAGGAAACAAATATTGTGTTGTTACCAAAGGAGGGCCAAGATGCCGCAAAGACAAAGAATTACAGATTAATTTTATTATTAAATAAAGACTATAAACTCTTTGCTGAAGTTTTGACACAAAGACTAAAGAAAATATTACAAGAATATATATATATATGAATACCATATATATATTTGGCTTTCTGCCAAAAAGACAGCTAAGGGATAATGTTAGGATTGTTTGGAACATAATTGAATACTTACATATCATAATGAGAAACAGGCCGCTCTAATAGTCTTAGATGCAGAGAAGGCCTTTGACAATCTAAATTGGGTTTTTATGTTTAAAGTGTTGGAAAAAATGGATTTTGGAGAGAATTTTATTCCAGGAGTTAAAGCTGTTTACACATCACAGCAAGCAAAAATTGTCATTAATGATGACTTAACTAACTCATGTGAAATTCAAAAGGGCATGAGACAAGGATGTCCCTTGTCTCCTCTGCTGTTTATCTTGGTATTGGAAATTTTGAATAGAGATATTGGGCAAGATAAGAAAATAATGGGTATAAACTTCAAGAAAGAAGCTTATAAATTGAGGGCATTTGCTGATGATCTGGTTATATTCCTGCAAGATCCAAAAAATAATATAGATGAGGAAGTTAAATGAGTTTTGGGCTATGTTATGCTGACTAAGAATATGTCATTTTAGGATAATGATACATTGATTAAAAAGTCAGGTTTTCAGGCTGAGAAAAATTTTGGGGGATTATGTTGACAAAAACAAATAGAAAATTGTTTCAAAACAGCTACTGTATGTGACTCTTTGGAATTATATCAAAAAGGACTTACAAAGATGGGACAAACTGCATTTATCACTATTGGGTAGAATCTCAGTAATTAAAATAAATGTTTTACCAAAGATGCTTTTTCTGTTCCAGACATTATCAATACTTGCAACTGATACTCTAGTTAAACAATGGCAAAGGGATATTTCCATGTTCATATGGCAAGGGGCATAAAAACCAAGAATTAGATATAAGCTATTTTGCAAGATGCTAAGGAAAGAGAGGGTTTGGGTTTACCAGATTTGAAATCTGCTTGATTTAGAGGGTCATGAATTAAGGTTTGGATGGGACGTTTATTTGTGGTATGATAAATTAAAGTTAATATTAATTTTAACAATCACTTTGTTAGATGTGCCATACTAAGAATGTGGAATAAATATAAAACAAGGTTTTCCATAAAGTTGCCTCTTTGGGTGTCCCCCCAGGAAGCCTTTTTTAGAAAAGAAATTGTGATGAAGCTGGACTGATGGACTTGTGATAAAACAATACTTTTCAACTCTGGTGACCCTATCATCAAGTCGAAGGAAGAGTTAGAATCAAAGGGCTAAATCTGTTATTGATTTACATAAGATTTCCATTTAATTTTAACAAAGTCAAACCCATAACTGAAAGAAAGATTCAAACTAGATAAAAAGAGTTATGGGTTTGACTTTGTTAAAATTAAATGGAAATCTTATTGTGTGATAGTGATGAACATATTATCATTAAGATTTATAAAATATTGAAACTGAATTTGGAAAGTGAATATGTAAAACATTGTATGATTCAGTGGGCAAGGAACTTTGGATATAATGTGATGCTGGAACAATGGGAGAATATGTGGATGAAAAACTTAAAATTCATATTAAATTTTAAATTACAATTTAAAAGAAAAATTTTATAAGATGATGTACCACTGGTATTTAACACCAGATAAGTTATCTAGAATGTATAAAGGGATTTCAAATAAATGTTGGAAATGTAAGTGTAAAAAGGGACCTTTTATCATTTATGATGGACATGTGGTAAAGCAAAGAAATATTGGAGTAGGATTCATATTCTAATACAGAAAATTCTTAAAGTAAAGATAAAGGTGAAATCAGAAACTTTTCTTTTGATCTTAATGGGAAAAGACTTGCGAAAAAAAATAGAACTTTGATCTTATATGTGTTGACGGCAGCAAGACTATGGCTACAGAAGCTGATGGAGTTGGCAGAGATGGCTAAATTGACCATTTTGATTAAAGAAAAGAATATAAGTACTTTTGTTTTTTCATGGAGACGGCTTCTGGATTTTGTGCTTGAGATGGGAAAAATGAAACTTTGATTTTGGGTTTTACTGACTAGATTGATTTGTTGTTGTTATAGAAATGGCTAGTTTATATTATTATGGAAAAGGAAAAAGTTGAGGTTCGGTGTTAATGCTTTATTCTACTGCAACAGAAGAAGTCAGAAGTCAGTGCCTTTTCTTTTTTCCTTCTCCCCCTCACTTTTCTTTCCTTTTTCCCTCCCTACTGTGTCCTATTATTAGCTTTTGTATTTTTGTATTTTATTCTATAATAAAATGTTACAAATCAAAATGTCTCTGACTTCAAAGTGTTGCTCTCCCTCAATTAAAATGGGATCAGGAGGTGGTTGTGACTCAGAGCATAGGGAAGACATGATTTCTGGTTTCAGTAGGCTTCAATGAAATACCGGATGTATATGTCCAAGCGCTCAAATTGTACAGTCACTGGGTTAATAATCCTTTTTATGGGGAAAGGTGTAACATCCCAATTTTGGGAACAGTTGTCTAGATTGTAAGAATTTTGTAGATAGGTAAACCTTATATCCCACTTTATAGTACTTAGGCTTAGTGCATTTTTGGTTGGTTGGTTTTTTATATTCTTCCCTAGCTTCATCCAAAGTTTTCCTAACCATATGTCAGGTATTCTGTAGTTGGGTGATGCACTCTTTTAGTGAAGCATTTGATGGAGTGATCTGAGGCACTTCAGGGATAGATACAAAGTCCTGTATTATGGCCATTCTAAATGGGGTGAACTCATTGCTACTGTGTACTGAGTTATTGTAGGCAACCTCCATGAAAGGGAGAAGGTCCCATGAAAGGGAAAAGGTCCATACAATTATCTTGTGGGTAATTAATGTGGCACTGGAGGTACTGCTCCAAAAACACATTGGCACGTTCGCAGCTGCTATTAGTAATCGGATGATGCAAGGAGCTGAGTCCCTGACAGTCCCCAAGAGTTTTAGGAACTCCTACCAAAATCTTGAAGTGAATTGGATTCTGTGAACAGATTAATCTTTCTAGAGCACCATGCAGCCAGTAGATGTGCTGCACAAATAGCAGTCAAAGTGCTATATACAGTATATAAATGTTTTATTAATTTTCTGTTTTCACAATCAAGTGCCCAATAGACAATGTGATGACTGAGTCCATTAGTGATTTCGTGGTACATGTAAGCTTCTTCAAACTAAGTCCAATATTACACCCTCCAGTACATCCACTCTTCTTCTGGTAATAACCATTTTTCCATACTAAGCAAATACAATTCTTACTGTTGTTAGTAAATATACAATTGCATATGAACATTTGTTACATTTTTCTAATAGTGTCAATAATATTAGTTTAGAATATCTTTTCTAACCAAAGCATATCTTAATTGCATTTGCACTTTATTTCCATTTATTTAGTCCATATCCTATTTTCGTTTTTTTCAATTTTAATTTCCCATCCATGTTCAAAATATCCCAATTGTTTATAATTTCAGAACAAGTTATTTTGGGTAACCTAAAGCTTCCCTTATTCAAAGTTCTTAGCATATTCTTATTTCCCTTTTCATACCAAGATATGTTATTCTGATTACAAATCCTATCTTTCTAGTTATAATAATACTTCTATTTCTAACAATCTATTCTTATTACCATATTCAAACATCTAATTAGTAATCTAGCATCTCCTCTAATAGGTCAAAGCTTCTGTTTCCTTCAATATTACTCTAGTTTTCTTCCTTTGCCAACTAACTTTCCAAGTCAGTGCATTTAGATCATCAAATAATTCTTCCTCTATTTTTGTATATATTATTTGAAACAAGAGAAAAAAATTAATTAAAGTATTTTTGGAAGAACTTGTCTGTTGATATTCATTAAACAGTTTCCCTCCTTCTCCAGTTCCCCACAGTTCTGTTAACGGCTTTATCTTCCATTCCATCAGCTCTTCTTCCTTATCCTCCAGTATGTTCTGAAACCTCGGTTTGTAAAATGCCTTTTCCATCTCCAATATTATCATTGTGTCTTTTAAGTTTTCATTTATCTGAGTCTGGTCATTAGTTTCTTCCTTTAGACTAGTGGTTCTCAACCTTTTTAATGCTGTGACCCCCCAACCGGTTGTAAGTCGAGGACTACTCAACCGGTCGTAAGTCAAGGACTACTCAACTGGTGCAGCACCGTTTGCAGAATGGGACTTTTGGCGGGGCAGAGACAGCCTGGACAATTCCTATTGGCTTTTGAAAGCCAATAGAATTAGACTCTATTCAAGAGAGTCTATTCTATTGGCTTTCAAACACCAATAGAATAAAAGGGAGTAGCACAGCTAAGGAAAAGGGGAAAAAAATGGTGGACTGTGTTGTTTGGCGACCCCCGTGAAATGGTCGTTTGACCCCAAATGGGGTCCCGACCCATAGGTTGAGAACCACTGCTTTAGATATTCAGTGCTTGTTTCAGCATTCTTTAGTTTTCCTTCTATTTTCTGGGTTGCTGATTCCTTCTCTATAGTTATTTTCTGAGTTTTAGATTTAAATTAGAAAATTGTTCTTTTATCTCCTTTGTGTTATTTTTAACCTGATCACAAGCCAAAGCAATTGTTTCTTGTATTAATTTCAACATGGAGAGAATTTCTTTCTGTGGTTCATCAGTATTTCCTTGGTGATATGGCAAACTGAGGCTACTGGGACAGATGTTAAGGATGGTTTTTTACTATTTAGAGATAAGTATGGAACATCCATTTTTTTTGTAAGTAGCCTGTATAAATTTATCCAACCAACTAGCCTTTCCTAAATCTCCCCTAAGCAGATATAAGTAAAAATTGGAAGTGTCTTGGCGACGTTTCGACAAAGTCTCATTTGTCATCTTCAGGCTGGTGTTTTCAGCTTCGTGCTTCTAGGAGCAGTGTGTGATCGTAGCTGTTTCTTCCTTTTAATAACAGAATAATAACACTTTAATAACAGAATAATCAGAGAAGCCATCAAGATAGAAAAACGCCCACACAGTATGAACAAACGAGATGATACCTCCCGCCTACCAGCCATTTGGAAACCTGCCCTTATTAACAAATGAGTCCCTAACACAAAGAATGACACCAGACCCACACTCACAAAAACCACACAGGATGTCACCACCCACATCCACACAAAAAGCAAACCCAAACCCACACCGATGATGAGGCACGACCAGAAGCCAGACCACAGCTGCATCATTAGCCACTTTAAACCCCTCCAATCCATACATGAAGCAAACTGACACCCACCATGAAGATGAGGCACGAATGCGAAGCCAAAAAATAGCAACGCATCCCACCATCTTAAACCTCCCTGCAACTCAGACTAACCTGAGCAAAGACCTACATACACCCGCAAAGACCTCAGAAAACAAATGTGTGTGTGTGTGTTTTCTGAGGTTTTTGGGTATACACATATCAATACAAATATAGAAAAACGAACACCAGGATATGTAGGTATGTAGGTCTTTGGTTATTTGGGTTTTCTCTCCTGTAAAATTGGAAGTGTCTTTTCATGTTCTTTTCACAATCGTCCTTTACCCAGTTGCTCCATCGCGAAAGGAGCAACTGGGTAAAGGACAATTGTGAAAAGAACATGAAATGCATATTGTTACCCGAACCCGGGGGGAAGGAACTAAAGTATAGAGACCATCGAAATAATAGAGACTCTTATCCATTCACCCCAGAGTTAAAGGAAGGTAAGATGGACGAGGAGAGACACGTAACTGAAAGGAACAGGAAAGAACAGACCAGCCTTGTGCAATTGAATCAATCTGGCCCGGTGACGAGGTCGAGGAGTCGCGCGCAGGCTCTGACATACCTATAAAAAGACTCACACTTCCTGGCGCACTAGCCCTGAGGATGCCGGCAGGTGACGGCGAAAGCTTGGCGCTTTTTAATTAAACTTTTATGGTTTTATCTTTACCCTGGTGTTCATTTTATATTTTTTACTATATATATATATACACGAATATGTATGTGTGTATATATATATATATATATATATATATATATATATATATATATACGAATATGTATGTGTATATATATATATATATATACACATACACACACATACATACATACATACATACGTATATAAAATTCCAAATTAGTCTTATAGGTTTCTCCATTTTCCCCAAGTAATTAATTTGCCATTTTCCTTTTCTGAGGGAATGGGGCGGAAATTCCCTTTCCCTCATCAGGGAGAGTGCTTTGGGCAGATTTTCAGGAAATGCTTGCCGGCCCTGTGGGGCAATTTACCCAACAGGGTAAAATCAAACATGAAATACGGAGCTCCGACTTCCTGTGTTTGCATCACTGGGACATCAAAACTGGAAGCCTGAATGTGGAGGGGATTTTTTGACAGGGCATAAAGTACGCTTGTTTGGAAAATAAGTCAGATCACCCAAATTACTATATTACCTGAGCTTTCAGGCAGTTCTACCATGAAGTCCATTAATATCTCTTTCCATGGGGCTTTGTGTTTTGCTACAGGCTGGAGAAGCCCTGGTATTTTGTCACCTCTTAGGGGAGCACAGATGGGGCAGCTAGCTACCTAGCTATATCCTTCAGTGATGGCCACCAAAATTGGTGCTTGACTATGTGCAGCATTTTCACAAAGCTGAAGTGCCCCACCACTTTTGAATCATGGCTTCTTTTGTAAAACCATTAATTATTGGCTCTGCAGGATGTACAATTTGGCCCCCACCCAAGTTAATTCATCTTGCATTGTACATGCACCTTTGTGTATGTGGAACCATTTGTCTTCTTCCAAAGCTTCTTTTAGAGTACCTTTTAAATCATCTGCTATTTGGATTTTCACTTTGGCCTGTGCCTGGAGCCACTATTTGCTTGTGAGGGGATGGCCAGCTTTGAACTATTGTATTGTGGCAGCCTGGATAAAGTATCTGCTAGGAAGTGTTTTTCCCCTGGGAGATATCTTAACATGAAGTTAAGCAATACAGCAATGTAGGTCAGACATTAAGCAAGTGCTTTAAAACAGTTGTGGCCAATACATTACACCCCTTTCCCCTAGATGGCTCAAACTCTCAATTGCTGGACATAGTCCTGCAGATATTTAGGCGGCCTTCTTGACCATTCTGAACATCTAGGGGTTGCAGGGGTCTCCCAGTCTACCCGCTCGCTTGCCTGGCTGGGTAGACCAGGACTCTGAGGTCTAGTGAAGTCAGGTTGACTCGGGTCCCTTTGGCTGGCCAGTCCTGGTTGGCCCAACCAAAGTCCGATTGTGCAGCAAAGTCTGCAGGGCTGGTCCTGTTCAGTGGATACTGTCTGTCCGGGGGAAGCTCTCCTGTGGCCTTTTCCCCATATGCTGGAGCATGCTGGAGCATGCAAGCTCCTCTGTTGGGCCGCTGTTGCATGGCCCCTGCATGTGGCCCTCTTGAGAGGCCTGAGCCAGAGACTAGTTCACTAGCCTCCGAAGCAGCTGGTCAATGTGCCGGCAAATGACTTGCCCATCTTCCAGGACCATCTCATAAGAGAGTGGTCCTGACATCTTAACAACCACAGCTGCCACCCACAAAGCCCCTTGCCCGTAATTCCAGGTCCAAACCCGGTCACCCACTTGCAAATTCCAAGATGCCTTTGACTAAGCAGAATCTGAGGCAACTTGGTCGGGGTGCAGCCTGTTCAGCTTGGTGATCAAACATCAGCCCCATCTGAGTTTGGCAGGGCTTCTGCCAGTGGTGGTACAGGGAGTTGCCAGTCTGTGGTGCCAATCCCCTGTGGCAATCCATTTTAGTGATTCCTTGGTTGTGCAGAACATGCATTTCACTTGGCTGTTCGAGGCTGGGTGAAAGGGAGCCGACATGGCGTGCCGTATTAGATTTGCCCTGGGAAAAGACTGGAGTTCAGAAGTGGTAAACTGAGCTCCATTGTCTGAGACTAACACATCTGGAAGTCCATGTGTTGCAAAGATTCTGTGCAGTTCCTGGATGATCCTGGCAGTAGTCATACTAAGGACTGGTGCGACCTCTAACCATTTAGAATGGCTATCTACCACTATCAGAAACAGCTGTCTCTGAAAGAGCCCAGCAAAATTGATGTGGATTCTTGACACGGTGTGTGTATGTCCCATTGGTGGACAGGGGCTTGCGGCATCTCCGGTAGTGGAGGATAGAGAAGAAGATTTGGGCACCATTATGGTAAAGCTGATAGCAGAAGCTCTACAAAGAAATAAACAAGAAATATTGCCAGAAATAGACGAGGTCTACCGAATTCACACAAATTATGCTCGAAGGAACAAATTACCACGTGAGATACATGTAAGATTCACCAGAAAAAAATTGGAGACCTAATATATAGGATTACAAGGGAAGATCCAATAATTTATAAAGGTATAGAAATTCAAACACTCAAACAAATTCCAAGGAAAGTGAGGGAACAGAGAAGAGACTGTAGATTTCTTAGTGCACATCTTATTAAAAAAAACATTCCATTCAGACGGTTAATCCCGGAGGGGATGCTGATAACATGGCAGGAGAGAAGGATTAAAATTGACAGCTTGGATAAGGCAAGATAATTTTATGAACAATTAGAAGGGGAAGAAAAAAAGAATAGTAGTAGGGAAGAACTAGAATTAGAATCCAAAAGTCAAGAAGATCAGCAACTAGAGTTAAAAAAGAGAGAGAAGGAGAGAGAAGGTAAGGAGGCAAGAAGACAAAGGAAAGAAAGAGGAACAGGTTCAAGAACAAGACAACCCCAGAAGTAAAATAATGGATGGGAAGATTAGATTAGTATCAATTAACGTTAATGGCCTAAATGCACCAGTTAAAAGAAAACAAATATTAACAAAATTAGTTAAAGAAGGCGTGGACATAGTATGCTTACAAGAAGTGCATATAAAAAGATTACACAGAAAATATTTGGAATTTCTGAAACTAGGAGAACTATATACATCACTAAATGGAACAAAAACAGAAAGGAATAGCAATCTATGTCAGAAAAGGAATCAGAGCCAATTTAAAATATCAAGATACAGAGGGAAGGGTATTAATACTAGAATTACAAATGGAATAGAAATCATGGTTACTGATGACAATTTATGCTCCAAACGAAAACCAATTTTTTTTATAAAGTCCTACATGAAAAACTTATTGAAATTGGACAAAGAAATATTTGTATAATAGGAGATTATAATGCAATAGTGGACATAAAAATAGATTATATTAGCAATATGAAAAATAAAAAGAAACGAAAAACACTATCAAAAGTATTTTTTGAGATGGCGCAGGAATTCAATTTATTTGACCCATGGAGAAAACAGAATCCTATGAAAAAGGAATATACCTTTTTTTCAAATCCACACAAATTGTGGTCAAGGTTGGACATGGCATGGATGAATAGGGAAATGGGGCAAGAAGTGGAGACAATAGAAATAATGCCAAACATATGGGCAGATCATAACCCCCTGAAGATAGTGTGGACAGGTCAGAAAAAAATAAAGAGAAAGTGGACACTAATACCCAAATTTTAAAGGAAAGAGAATTTATTACAAGGATCAAAAAAGAGATGGAATTATTCTTTAAAGAGAACACTAAACAACAAACATCATTACAAATCATATGGGACACCACCAAAGCATATCTCAGAGGTATAGCAATAGCATACATGGCTAGGAAAAATAAGGTGAAAAGACAGACACAAAATATACTTCTGGATGAGATCAAAAAATTAGAATCCAAATTACAGCGGGAGCCATAAGATGAAAGAATTAAAGAGGAAATGACTCTGGCCAAACATAAATTAAATATAGTAGAACAAGAGGAATTGACAAGACAAGCCTGTCCTGGCGTCCTTTGCGGCCCCAACATGGAGGAGCTGACGGTGGAAGTGCGCGGCTCCAACGGGGCCTTCTCTAAGGGATTCATCAAAGATGTTCATGAGGATTCACTCACAGTTGTGTTTGAAAACAATTGGCAACCAGAACGGCAAGTTCCATTCAGTGATGTAAGATTACCACCACCACCTGACATCAAGAAAGAAATTGGTGAAGGAGATGAAGTGGAGGTTTACTCAAGAGCAAATGACCAAGAGCCTTGTGGCTGGTGGCTGGCAAAGGTCCGAATGATGAAAGGAGAGTTTTACATCATTGAGTATGCTGCTTGCGATGCCACTTACAATGAAATAGTCACATTTGAAAGACTTCGGCCTGTAAATCAGAATAAACCTGTGAACAAGAATACATTCTTCAGATGTGCTGTAGATGTTCCAGAAGATCTGAGAGATGCATGTGCTAATGAAAGTGCTCACAAGGATTTTAAGAAAGCTGTAGGAGCCTGCAGAGTTTTTTACCAGGCTGAAACAACTCAGTAGTTCTGTCTGCCAGTGAGGCAACAGTAAAAAGAGTGGGCATACTCAGCGACATGCACTTGCGCAGCATTCGAACCAAGTTAATGCTCATGTCGAGAAATGAAGAAGCAACAAAGCATTTAGAATGCACAAAACAGCTTGCAGCAGCATTTCATGAAGAATTTGTTGTCAGAGAAGACTTAATGGGACTTGCAATAGGAACACATGGCAGTAATATACAGCAAGCCAGGAAGGTTCCAGGCATTACTGCAATTGAACTCGAAGAAGATACTGGAACTTTCAGGATCTACGGAGAGAGTGCTGAGGCAGTAAAAAAAGCTAGAAGCTATTTGGAATTTGTGGAAGACTTTATTCAGGTTCCTAGGAATCTTGTGGGGAAAGTTATTGGTAAAAATGGCAAAGTTATTCAAGAGATTGTGGACAAATCTGGAGTCGTGCAAGTGAGAATTGAAGGAGACAACGAGAATAAACTACCCAGAGAAGATGGAATGGTTCCATTTGTGTTTGTGGGTACTAAAGAAAGCATAGGGAATGTCCAAGTACTTCTTGAATACCACATTGCCTACTTAAAGGAAATAGAACAACTACGGATGGAAAGGCTCCAAATTGATGAGCAGTTACGTCAAATTGGCATGGGTTTTAGACCTTCATCTACCAGAGGTCCTGAGAAGGAGAAGGGCTATACCACCGATGAAAGCACTCCTTCGTCTGTACAGGGTTCAAGGTCCTATAGTGGAAGAGGCAGAGGCCGGAGGGGCCCCAATTACACTTCTGGATATGGAACAAATTCTGAGCTGTCTAATCCCTCTGAGACAGAATCAGAAAGAAAAGACGAACTGAGTAATTGGTCCCTAGCAGGGGATGAAGACAGGGAGGCCCTACACCAGCGCGACAGCCGAAGGCGTCCACCAGGAGGAAGACGTAGCGTTTCCAGGGGCCGGGGCCGAGGTGGCACCCAAGGTGGGAAGTCATCTATCAGTTCTGTGCTGAAAGACCCAGACAGCAATCCTTACAGCTTACTTGATAACATAGAGTCTGACCAGACTGCAGACACAGATGCAAGTGAATCACATCACACCACTAACCGACGCAGGCGATCTTGCAGACGGAGGACTGATGAAGACGCTGCCTTAATGGATGGGATGACAGAATCTGACACGGCGTCAGTTAATGAAAATGGCTTAGTTACAGTTGCTGATTATATATCAAGAGCAGAATCTCAGAGTAAACAAAGAAACCTTCCAAAGGAAACACTGGGTAAAAACAAGAAGGAAACGGTGAAAGATGTGATTGAAGAGGTTGGCCTTTCTGAAAAAGCAGTAAATGGCCCGGCAGTGGTTTCTGAGATTGAATCTTCCAAGGAGCAGCATAGTCCTGAGGAAAAGCCTAATACTATACAAGAAGATGGGAATAAACAGGAAGAAGCTGTGTTGAATGGCGTTTCATAAACAAGAGTTCCTAGTTTACAGTTCTTTTACATTACATTTTACAATAGTGCTTGTATAAGCTTGCCAAAGATAGAATATGGATTGCGAGTCTTGACACCGCACTTTCAGTTCCTCCATTTTGGAAAACAACAGGTTACATTATCTCAACCAACTTATTCTGTAATGGAATTGTTACAATTGATAAATCAATACGGACAAGTTTCAGGTTTTAAAATTAATAACAATAAGACTAAAATATTGCCTAAGAACATGACCAACTTGGATAAGGAGACATTGGTTAGATTGACAGGCTTTGAGGTTGTTAATAAGGTAAAATATTTGGGTGTTATTTTATCTGCTTCCAACTCAAAACTGTATAAAAATAATTATGAAACGCTGTGGGTTAGAATACAAAAGGATTTGGATAATTGGAAAAAGCTGCAATTGTCTCTTTTGGGGAGAATAGCAGCGATTAAAATGAATGTTCTGCCAAAATTTCTCTTTTTATTTCAAATGATACCTATTTTAAAGAAAGAAGCAAATTTAGATGAGTGGCAGAAAGGTATCAATAAATTTATCTGGGCAGGGAAAAAACCAAGAGTAAAACTTAAAATTTTACAAGATATACGAGAGAGAGATGGACTTAAGGTACCGAATTTGAAATTGTATTACGATGCTGTGGTCTTAACATCAATTAGTGATTGGGTTAATCTAACAAATGTAGATATACTCCTTTTGGAGGGATGGGATTTACTTTTTGGATGGCATGCCTATTTAATTTATAATAAAAAGGTTGATAGGATCTTTACATCTCATATCTTAAGAATTTCTTTACTTCGGGTTTGGAAGAAATACTATAGAAGTGATTCAAGAATTCCATTATGGGCTATTCCATGGCATGCAATAGAAGGAATAAGGAGAGGAGTTAAGATGGATATTATTTCTTATACACAATTACTTAAGTGGGATGGTAAAAATTGGCAATTAAAATCTATGGATAAATTAGCACAAGAAAATATTATTTATTCATGGTTTCAGTATAGACAATTATTGGAAAGATGGAAGATAGATTATAAGGTGGGCTTGCTTAGAGAGGATGAGAATTTGTTAAAACAAATTAGAGATCAAAGTCGAACCCACATTAAAAGAATTTATGGTGTCTTGGTGGAATTGGATTCAGAAGCAGAGCTAGTTAAAGATTGTATGGTTAAGTGGGCACAAAATTTTGATGAACCGATTTTATTAGATACATGGGAGATTATTTGGGTGAGGAATGTTAAATTCACGCAAGCCCAAAATTTACGGGAAAACTTTTATAAAATGTTTTATAGATGGAACCTTGATCCACAAAAAATGTCTCGTATGTATCCAAACCTGCAGCCTAAATGTTGGAGATGTGGTTGCTCGGATGCTACTTATTATCATATCTGGTGGTCATGTAAAAGTATTAAAGCTTTTTGGATTAAGATATGGTGGAATATTCAAAGAATTTTTAAAAGAAGGATAAAATTTACTCCACAATTGTTTTTGTTGGGTATTGTTTCTGATTGTGATGATAAAGAGATTATTTTAATGTTAAATTTAATTACTGCGGCTAGGTTGTTAATAGGGCAATATTGGAAGAAGGAATTTTTGCCTACTTTGCAAGAATGGTTTTTTAAAGTTTCTTACTTAGAGGAAATGGCAAAAATTTCGGCTTTCTTGAAAGATCAATCGCAAGAGAAGTATCTTTTGGTGTGGAAAAGATGGATAAATTTTATACAATATAAGTATGATATAAGAAAATATTATCTAGCTTTTGAATAATTTATATAAGTTTAAGATATTATTTAGAAGTGTAATTGTTATTATTCTTTAATTTTTTTAATTTTTTTTTATTTTCTCTTTTGTTTTTCCTCTTTTTGTTTTTTATATATAATGGAGTTAAAGTATTTTACAATTTGTTTATTGAGTGTAATTATATTTGCTTAAGGTTTATTTGGGTTTAAAACTTTTTTTCTTTTAAGATCTAGTTAAGCCTGTATTCAGCTCTGGGAAGAACGGGGGAGGGTTTTGGGGTGGGTAGAGAGGGATTGGGGAAGGGGTTTTTATTGTAAAATTTTAAAAATTTTAATAAAAAAAAAGAGGAATTGACAAGGGAATTGAAAATAACCAAACAAATTTTTTTCGAAACAGCTGTCCCTGAAGGGGCCCAGCAAAATCGATGTGAATTCTTGACCATGGTGTGTTTATATCCTCCCATCAGTGGACAAGGGCTTGCAGCATCTCCGGTTTGGATTGCTGGCATGTGCAGCAACCATGTACTTGGGCCTCGATGGCTTTATCTAGTCCTGGCCACCAAAGGTAGCTCCTTGCAAGTGCCTTCATCCGGACTATTCCCGGATGACCCTCGTGCAGAGACTCTAGGGCCCTGGGCCTTAAAGAGCTCAGGACTATGACCCTACTTCCCCAAAGGATGCACCCCTTATGAGCTGAAAGCTCATCTTTTTTCATGAAAAAACTCTGAAATTCTGGCCCTGGACATTTGTGTGTACCCAGTTTAGCACACGACTCAGCATTTTGTCAGCTGCTGTCTCAGCAGCTATGTCCCCAGAGTGAAGGGGAGATTCTGGCAAATCCTGGATAGCCAGGATGCATTCAGCCGGAGCTGGATCTGGCACCACATGTGGCAGGGGCAACCTGCTCAGGCCGTCTGCATGGCCCATTTCTTTGCTCAGTTTCTGTCAGAAAGATAGACCACCTCAGCATTTGAGAATACAGAATCTGAGGTGTCTGTTTGTTTATGGTGAACAACCCTAGGAGTGGCTTGTGGTCCATGAAGACTGAACTGGCGGCAATACAAGTAGTCATGGAACTTTTTAACTCCGGCCACAATGGCCAGCCTCCTTGTCAATTTGTGCATAGTTGCGCTCTGCGGATGATACGTGATGGGCTTCAACCTCCCATCAGCCATTAAGTGGCTTAACACAGCCCCAACCCCATACAGGGATGCATTACATGCAATGCAGACAGGCAGCTGCTCATTGAAATGAGTGAGAACTGAGTTCAACGACAGCAGTGATTTGACCGCTTGGAAGCTACTGTCGTGGACACTGGTTCACTGCCACTGAGCTTGTCTATCCAAGAGCCTGTGTAATGGCTCTGCCACTGCGGCCTTGTTTGGAAGGAAGATATAGTAAAAATTCAAAAGGCCTAGGAAAACCTGAAGCTCTCCCTTTGACTTCAGCCTTGGGGCCTGCTGGATTGCTTTTAATTTGGATTCTGGTAGATGAATGCCTTCGGCATTGATGCAGAAACCAAGGAACTCAGTTGACTCTACCCCAATCTTGCACTTTTCTTTTTTTAGTTTAAGTCCTGCATCGTGGAACCACTGAAGGGTGGCCTTAAGCCATTCAGCCAGAATCTCAACAGATTCCCCAGCAATGAGGACATCATTGAAGTAGGGGAAAACCCCTGGAATTCCCTTGAGCGTGCGCTCCATCACTCCCTGGAACAACCCTGGGGCTACCCCGAACTATAAGCACTTAACCTTAAAAGCCCCCCCTATGGGTAACAATGGTCTGGGCTATCGCCGTGATCTGTGCCAAATCTAATTTGGTGAACATGCGGCCTCCTTGCAATGATGCCAAAATATGGCTGACAACTGGCACAGGGTATACGTGCTGTTGAAGTGCCCTGTTGAGGGTGCACTTATAGTCAGCGCATATTTGCACACCCCATTGACCTTTAATGGCATTACTATGGGGGTCTCCCATACCCCACTGTCTACGGGCTGCAATACCCCTTGTTCCACTAGCTTATCCAGCTCTGCATCGATTTTGGGTTTTAATGCAAAAGGCACTCTATGAAGCTTGATCCATATTGGAATTACCATAGGATCAAGCTTGAGGGCAATTGGAGGACCCTTGTACTCCCCTAGACTAGAACTGAAAACATCTGCGAACTCTTGGTAGACTGCAGGCAGATCTGCCGCTTGTGTTCGGTGAATGCTGGTTACTTGAATGCCCAATGCATCAAACCAATCAAGCCATATGAGGCTCGTGCATTGGCTTCCACCACTATGACATCTAGTGGCCCCTGGAACCCCTTGATTTCCATCAGAAGTATGGCTTCGCCTTTGACCACCATTCAGGAGTTTTGGAAGTCTGTGAGTAGCAGATTAGATGGCTGAGCTTGGCCCATCTGTTGCTACGATGGCATAAGTGCCTGAGTGATCTTTGTGAAATGATTGACATGGCTGAGTCCGTGTTCAGTTCCATCTTGCATGGAACTCCCTGAAGCTTGACCTGTAGTCTAAGCTTCTGTTTTAGGGGGCGATGGGCACCAGTGCTGAATACGCTCCTTTGGCTGGAGTAGAACCCTACTCGGTGTTGACCCGGGCCCCCGGTATCTCTCCTGAATGTGTCTTCTTTCAGGCGGTCCCTCTGATGACCTCGGCAGACGACGGCGATGTGGCCTGCTTTGCCACAGCCCTGGCATGTTGCAGTTTGGAATCAGAAATCCATGCATTGATGGCGGCCTCCACAGCCCATGCATCTAAGGAATGGAACTGCCTTCTCAGTTGGCTGCGGTCCCTTCTCTGGGTGCTTTCGTAGCTGGTTGACTTCATAGTCTGAGTCGGTGTCTTCCATCCGCTCAGCATCCTCATGGTGGACGGCTTCAGTGCTTGGTGCACTTTTGGAGTGCCACAGTGCTTTAACGGCCCCTCTGGCGGCTTCATCCACCATGACCTCCTTCAAGGCCTCCTGTAGCGAGAGAGTCTCCTTAGCGAACAGTTTTTGTTGGAGCTCTCAATTCCGGAGTCCGCAGACTAAGCAGTCTCAGTCTGTCCTCCAAATCCGTGAAATTGCAGAGTTGGGACGCTTGACAAAGAGTGGCAATGAATTGTTGCAGACTCGCCAGGTTGTTGCTCCCGCTGCTCAAAAGCGTGTCTCCACACTATAACGGATAACTTGGGCTCGAAATGGTCTTGGAGCTTTTTTTTCAGGTCCGCGTAGGTGACCGACTCAAGCGGTACCGGGGCAATCAAGTTCTCTGTAATGTTGAAGATGGCGGGGCCACAGACGTAGAGGAGTATCATGGCCTTCAATCCATCTTCGGCGACCTGGTTGGCATGGAGGTAATTTTCGACATGGGAAATGTAGGACACCCATCTCTCCAGGTGTTATGTCAAATTCTTTGAGCTTCCCAACCTTCGCCATGGTGATTTGTTTCTTCGTTCAATGCCTTGCACTGCTGGTTTCTGTGTAGGCTCTAGGATGGATCTTTAGGGCATGGTGGTCTCCAGTGTGGCTTGCTGGCAGACCGAGGGGGGGGGGAAACATAGTTCCTGTCAGGCTCTGTGCTGAGCTCACTTCCTAGTGACTTCAAGCTCTCTCAATGAAGCAGCACATCCCACCTTCGTTGCCACTGTTATATCTTCGGTTCTTTAGACATTGAACGAGGCAGAGTGTTGAAACAGCAAACAAGTTTATTAACTCAGAACAGAAGCAGCCCTAAAGGCTGCTGCACAGTTTTTATACAGTTAGCTTCTAGGTGGCAACCAATAGGTGTAAAGCAGTGGTTCTCAACCTTCCTAATGCCACGACCCTTTAATACAGTTCCTCATGTTGTGGTGACCCCCATATCCCCCATCCAGCTGGCCGGGGGGGGGCAGGAAGGCCACTCTGCCGGCTCCGCCCAGCCTGGTTGGAGAAGCGCCATTCCTCTCCCTCTTTCTCTCTCTCTTTCCTCTTTCTCTTTCTCTCTCTTTCCTCCCTCTTTCTCTTTTCCTGTTTCTCGCTCTTTCCTCTCTTTCTTTTTCCTCTTTCTTTTTTTTCTCTTTTCCTGTTTCTCACTCTTTCCTCTCTCTCTCTTTCCTCTTTCTCTCTTTCTTTCTTTCCTCTCTTTCTCTTTCTCTTTTCCCTCTCTCTTCTCTCTTTCCTCCCTCTTTCTCTTGCTCTCTTTCCTCTCTCTTTTCCTGTTTCTCTCTTTCCTCTCTTTCTCTATTGGGATGAAGCCAAAGTCATTGGCCTTGCTGAAACTTGTCAGGCACAGTAGTTTATCAAAGCATGGCATTTAGACTTCGAACCAGCCTATGAATCAACAAGGAAATGGACCATCTGGACCACCAATTGATCACAGAACCAACCACCAACTCACCAGTTGAATTCCACACCTCATAGCAACCAGTCAGAAGTCCCAAAATTACAAGGCAAGAATCAGACTTGTGATTCAACCAGCATTGTGATTCAATCAATCACAAAACCAACTGACCACCCAGGACCTATATAAATGAATCCAAATCTCCTGCTGAAGATGTTACCTAGTTTGGTAACTAAACATCCAGGAGCTAAACACCAAGCTTAGAGAATGGACCTCTATGAAACACTATAACCTGAGCTAAGAATATTCTCAAGAATCTCTTTATTCTTTAATGATATCTATTAGCCACTTAATAACAATATGAAGAAATCTCAGGTGTAAAATCCACTGACAAAACACTTTAAGGCACATCATTATAAATATTTTTCAGATTTCAATGTACAATTGATATATTGTACATTAAAATCTATTTTAATAACAATTTTGCATTTTCTACAGATAATAAAGCAATATTAAATATATTATATTCTAGCATTCACTATGTTTTCATAAAAAAATATTCACTTTTGCATTTGTATTTTACAATATGTAGCTTTTATCAAGAGAATATACTGTATGTGTGTTAAGAAAAGATGAAATATCCATGGATACAAGTAATGAAAGCACTATGCAAAACCAGAATCAAGTTCATTAATACTTAAGTAATAAGAACTGCACATAGGCCAATTTGTGTGCATATTTATTACTTGACAGGTATATTGTATAAGTGAATACAAAATCAGAAAAAGTTTAAAACAATTTAGCTTACTGTGTCATAAATATAATATTTTCCAAAGGAAAATACATAGAACTAGCTGCAAATTAATTTATATCTTCCTGATTGAAATATAAAGCATATAATTATGAAAGCTAACAAGGAATAACTATGGTCATTCATTCAATTTCTATAGCCACCTAGCTCAACCAAATTACTAACCAATGAGGTCACATGACATTGAGCTTTACAACAATGTTGCTTAATGACAGAAATTCTATCCCAATTACTGTTGTAACCCCAGGACTAACAGTAATAATGCCCCTGAAGACTCAGTTCTGCCCACATTTCATGTCGTTTACTTCATTCTGTAGCTCTCAAGCGAATAACTTGTATTCCTAATCAAAAAACTTAACATGTCCTACTTTAGTATAGAATATATTTAATTGATTTTAAAGCAGAATTTTCAAGCCCAGAAAAAAATAAAGAAAAAGGACACCAAAGATACGCTGAACAAGAAAAATGGCTATTTGCTAGATCACAGAAGATTTGAGTGACTGAAAAGTAAGAACTTTAGGTATGCTTAATTTACAAGTGAGTTGATTCTGGGAGAAAAATCCTAGGTTGTTCTTCAGCACCATCTATTTGCAAAAAAGAATCTGTGGATCTGTTGCTAAATCGAATGGGAGCAAGTCTTTGAAAGCTGTTTGGAGAATAAGGTATTTGTACTCTGGCTCTTTGGGAAGGTACCACCATCTCATCACTGGATTGCCAAGGTGTAAACTTCATGATGGCATTTTGCTCAATATCAGCTGAAAATACTGGATTATCAATTCCTATAAAAAGTCCACCAAAGGCAAAATCAATAATTAAGTAAACAGGAACATGATAACTTTCATACTGTATTAGACTGTTTGCAAAATTGGAAATAAACAGGAACTTGGTTGAAATAGCAATTAAAAAAACTAAAATTATTTTAACAAAGCAAATCTTTGGCAAAAAGTTGTTTCTCTGCTGCCTGGACTATAGGACAACACAGTGGTTGAAAATGAGCAATAGAACAGTTTAGTTCTGAATGTCATCTATGGCAAGGGTCCCCAACCTCCAGTCCGGGGACCGGCATCGGGCCGCAGCATGCCAGTAACCAGTCCACACAAACAAGCAAAGCCCCATCTACAGGATGCAGGCAGCACACAAAACCATGCACTCTCCAGTCCGTGGAAAAACCTTTCTCTATGGAACTGATCCCTGGTGCCCAAAAGGTTGGGCACCTCTGATCTATGGGATTTAAATAATCTTTTCTTTTCCTTGTTTGTCCCAAAAAGGAAACTTCATCCTCTAGAAAGTGCATAAATAAAATACATTTTATTGTGTGATATGTATTTGTGACATTTTAACACTATGGTTTAAATAATAGCAATTTCCTTATAGTGCTGACAAATGGTACATATATCTTCTGTTCTACATTTCTGGAAATTGAATTTTTCCTTGTATATATCTATGTTAAAAAGCCAACAAGCACAATGCTTTTATATTACTATGGTATATATTAATTCCTATACCATTTGTATCTGTGAAATTATCTTTGTTGACATAATCCAAGAAGTTTACTGCTCCACTTATCTGTGGATAGCCATAATCATTTTCCTCTGGCTCAGAAAACTCATTTTCTAGAATAAAATAATATTTATTTATATAACTGACTGAGATATTTAGGTTCTGAGACACTTTACTACTTGTAAAAGTAAATTGATATATTATTAAAAAACAGTGTCGAATGTAACATATATTCAAACTTATAACAATTTCACACAATGTAAAATACAATTTCAATTCTGATTTCTGTACAAATAATACACATAATTACACTTCCTCAACCTGTAAATATTTTAATTGATTTCTGGTTTATTGTTAGCTTTTATCCTATTTAAAACTTCTAAGATATTTATATATATATATAGATCAGCACAAATTTATGGATAAAATGAGCAGCATTATCCCTGCATTCAAGTCAGTATTCTTGTGACTGCCTAGACAAGCCCTGCAATCTTCTTGATAAGATTTTTTTAGAAGAAGTTTGCCATTGCCTCCATCCTAGGGCTAAAAAAGAGGGACTGGCCCAAAGTCGACTTCTTGTTTAAGGCAAGACTAGAACTTATGGTCTTTGGGTTTCTAGGCTGATATATTAACCACCACACCAACTTGCTCCTGGATTAAATTACAGATGCCTTATAAAATGAGCCTGTGTACTGAAATAATCACTGAAAGACTTTTTCTGTGCCAGAATAATTTGACAAAAGGTTGAATAGGGCTACAAAAATACAGTAGCTCTTTTAGTCAATTTTCATTTTTAAAAGTAAAAAATTTATTCCAAAGAATACTGTTGCTGGTGGAGATAAAAGTGTGGTTCTTTTTTGGTCTTCAGGTAGGGTATTCTAGAATTTTCATGAAAAATAGGTTTGCCAGGCTTAGCTGTTATTTTATTATTATTCATTAAAGTTATCAATGCATTTTTAAATTTTAAATTTAAAAAATTCCCAAAGTTTGAAGCTGAAAGTCAAAATGATCTTGGAAGATTTTATGGCCATCCGCTCCATAGACATTCAATCAGGAAAAACCACGATAAATACAATAAATTTGGAAAATATTTATTCAGTGCGATATTAGCTAGCAACAGAAATAGAAAATATTTATTTTCATATTTGTACTCTGCTGAAATACAGAGATTCTTGGCAGCTAGTTATGTCACTCAATATTTACTCAATACTTTTAAAAAGGACATTTAACTTTTTTTTAAAAAAGTGCATTTACCTTTGTCTTTTAAAATAGATGCAGATAGGTTTCCATCTGGTATGACATTACTATTTTTCTGAAAAAACAAGAAACGACCATACAAATATATATTCCATTTTTACAGCATATATACAATTTAATATAAGTGCTATCTTTTTGCATACCCAACATGTGATACAAAGTTTATATTTTATTTTATAATTAAAAGTATTTAATTAATAAAATATATTGCCTATTATATACACATTTCCAATTAATTTTAACTTTACATAAACCAATTTATAAAACTAAATTTTCTTCAATATTCTTCTAAAACAATAGGATTTTACAAAGGATTACAGTTATTGTTGTCCTATAAACTATATAGATTCAGGTGACTGATCTTAAGATAGTAGCGTAACAATAATAAACACAGGAGACATAGTCATCTTAGGGCCCACAGACCTTCCCTTTGTCACTCTTTTCTGCCCTACACTTCAACAAATCTGAGGAGGGGTATCTTTTCGAGCAAGCTAGAACTCCCCCCCCCAAATGATTAGTTGGTAACACTGTCTGTATCTCTTTGTTTAGTTATTGTCCAGATTTCTACAGCTCCAACAGCGCCATAGTGAACAAGTGTTATGAAAAAAAAACGAGAAGAGTTATTGCCATTGTTGCTGGTATCTCAGCTGTTTCTTCCAAGTCAAGTGTCATTTTAATATCAGCTGTTAATAGAGATTCTGAAGACCCTGGAAACTTCCTGCTATCTGTTTATTTCTACTTTTGCCTTCCCATTCAAGTGAAAACAAAAAGAGAATAGATATTCAAATTGCAAAATTCAGTATTAAATTAAATATTCAATATGCAAAGAGATATTCAGGCTACAAAAACACAGCCACTGGATGGCAATAAAAAGATGCAGTGCAGATATGCCTAAGAGGGGCAGGTGAGTGGAACAGTCTTTTAGGAGAGGGGGAATGAATGCCGGATACCACCCTGCAGAAGGGGAATACTTTTGATAATTGAAGTGAAAGCTTGCCTTTCTTCACCTTTTGATACTCTTCTTCTTGTGCCATATCCGTTATTGGACTTTGGCGATCATGTTGGTGTTTGAAATTGATTGACTGACCTTTCCCCCCTCAAAAAAACCTTAATTTTGTTTCCTTGCACATGACAGCAATGGCGGATTGCGAAGGAGAAATGGCACGAGGCTGGGAGTCAGGTAAGGAAAGAAAGGCAATTTCTGGGGGGAGCAAGGGTTTCTTTCCTTACCTGCCCCACTTGTTCTGAGGCCGCTTTCTGCTCAGACGCGTTGCTATTGCCAATGGCCGACCGCCCACTTCAGCACCTTCCCTCCTCGAGCCTCTGCACTCCACCTGCTGCTTTGGTCGGCTTGCCAGCCCCCACCTTAATGCCCTGCCCACCGCCGCCCAGCACGGCCACCCCGGGGCTGCAGGGGCTGGCCTGGCATGGGAAGGGCATGCACCCCATCATCTTGCTGCATACAGGGTAAGGTTGCCGTGCCTGCCCCCACCCAGATGCCCTTCCCTCCCCCAAGTGGTTTTTTTTTACTAAACTGCCTTTAAGGTTGAGATCTCGCGAGAAGTTAGAAAATCTAATGGAACTTTTTTTTTAACCTATAGTCCCACAAACACACGGCAAAGGCTGAGAAGCGAATAGAGAAATGGAATGCAGCTGAAAGGCAGGTTAGTAAAAAAAAACGCTTGGTGGAGGTAGGTGCATGGGTATTGATGAAAGTTGCTCATGAATAGGACTGAAGGCCTAGGACTAGGGCAACAGTGCGCGTACCCACAGAGAGGGCTCTATGTACTGCTTGTGGCACGTGTGCCATAGTTCACCATCACGGTTCTAGTGCAATAGCCTGCACAAGAAGGAACCCCTATACCATTCTGGACAAATGGTTGTCCAATCTCTTCTTTAAAACCTTCAACAATGGAGAACCCACAGCTTCTGAACACAAGCCATTCCACTGGTTAATTGTTCTAACTGTCAGGAAATTTCTTTTTAGTTTTAAATTGTTTCTCTCATTGATTAGTTTCCATAAATTGCTTGTTGTCCTGCCTTTTGGTGCATTTGGTAAATAGGTTAATCCCTTCCTCTTTCTGACAGCCCCTCAAATATTGGAACACTGCTATCATGTCACCCTGGTCTTCTTTTTACTGGACTAAACATAGCCAGTGCCTGCAACCATTCTTCATATGTTTTAGCTTCTGCCCCCCTAATCATCTTTGCTGCGCTTCTTTGCACTTTTTCCAGAGTCTCTTTTTTATATTGTGGAAACTAAAATGTGATGCAATATTTGAAGTGTGGTCTTACCAAGGCATTACAAAATGGTACTAACACTTCATGTGATCTTGATTCTATCCTTCATTAATGCAGCCTAGGATTGCATTGGCTTTTTTGGCAGCCACAACTTCAAGATCCCTTGATTATCTGTTCTAGGATCTTCCCAGGTATTGATTTCAGGCTGTTTGTCTGTTCTTTTCTGGTCCTTTGGTAGTTCCTTGATGGCCCAGGATCTTTGAAAGATATGGTTCAATGGTTCTGAGATCATGTCTGCCAGCTCCTTCAGAAATCTGGGATGTAATCTATCAGGTCCTGGTGATCTGACTTTGTCTAGAGCAGTGGTTCTCAAACTGTGGGTCGGGACCCCATTTGGGGTCGAATGACCATTTCACGGGGGTCGCCAAACAACACAGTCCGCCATTTTTCCCCCTTTTCCTTAGCTGTGCTACTCCCTTTTATTCTATTGGCTTTTGAAAGCCAATAGAATAGACTCTCTTGAATAGAGTCTAATTCTATTGGCTTTCAAAAGCCAATAGGAATTGTCCAGGCTGTCTCTGCCTTGCTGAGCCCGCCAAAAGTCCCATTCTGCAAACGGTGCTGCACCAGTTGAGTAGTCCTAGACTTACGACCGGTTGAGTAGTCCTCAACTTACGACTGGTTGGGGGTCACAGCATTAAAAAGGTTGAGAACCACTGGTCTAGAGTGGATAGGTGTTTTCTTACCATTTTCTTGCATATTTTAATTTGAATTCCTAGTCTGTCTTTTACAGTTCTGTTTTTGATAGGTTGGGCTATTTTTTCTTTTTGCATAAAGACAGATACAAAAAATGAAATTAAACAGTTCTGCTTTCTCCTTATTGCTTGTCACTTCCTTGCCAATTAGTGGACCAATTGTTTCCTTGACTTTTCTTGTTTTTTTACATGTTGAAAGAAAGAAATGTCAAAATTATTGTTGACATTTGTTGCAAGTCTTAGTTCATTCTGAGCCTTAGCTTTCGTGACTTCATCTTTGCAGATTTGGGTTATATGCTGGTATTCTGCTTTAGTTATGTATTCCTCTTTCCATTTTCTATATTTATACTTTTTGTCTTTCAGTTTATCAGAGACTTCTTTGTGGTTTCTTCTTGAATTTCTTATTTTTTTTCTTTTTCAGCAGTATTGTGGTGGGCTGGACTTTTATAATCACATTTTTCAAAGATTCCCAAGCTTCTTCAGTTGTTTGCCCCTTTAAGATTTTCGTCCATGGAATCCTTTCCAAATTCTCTCTAAGTTTGTTGGAATCAGTTCTTTTAAAGTTTAAAACACTAGTTTGATTTTGTTCTATTGCTTGTGTCTGCATTACATTACATTACATTACATTACATTACATTATATTACATTACATATGACATGGTTGCTTTCCTCCAAAATTCCTGCAACTTCAACCCTCTCTATCATTTCATCTCTGCTAGTAAGAATTAAATCCAGTATAGCTGACTTTCTAGTTCTCTCTTGTACCTTTTGGATGACAAAGTTATCAGCTAGATTCATAAGGAACCTGTTCGATCTTCTACTTGATGCAGAGTTTGTTTCCCAGTTGATATCAGGGTAATTAAAGTCCCCCATTACTGTTGTGGTGTGTTGTTAACTGACTAGCAGAAAGTTCATCTATTTCTTCTGTTTGGCTCTCAACTGTATCTTTGCTTTTTGCTTCAGGGAGACAACATATCTCCCTATATTGATTGTCTCATTGACAGACTGCTGTTTCCCTTCTCCTGAAAAGTGAATTTCCTATCACCAACACTTGCCTTTTTTTTCCTGGCGAAGTCTGGGCTACTTTTCTTCCTGTCAGAGGAACAAATGTTGATATTCATTCTCCAGGTGTCTGCATGTCATAGGGGAAGATATGAAATCGATAGCTCAACTCCACGGGCTCCACTGTACTGGGCTGCACTAGATAGCAGGGACAATGCTCTTGGTTGTTTTATTCTTCTATAAGTGACATGCTGCCATCAATCTGACTCTAAGGTTCATGTACAGGTTTATTTGTTCCTTATTGTATTCAATTTGGATACAGTCTTCTTTCTTCAGTTGGAGGTTTTTATTGTGTAGGTTGAGCCTCAAAGAGGCTAGAGTTGCCTCTAGACCTTTCTTCAAGTAATTTATAGTTTATATTTGGTACATGTGTAATTTCAGTCTACTATGGGCATGAGTACATACAGCACATGGAACATATTTTGCAAATCACAATAGTAAAAGTCTCTTTTTCCATGACATTGTTTCTTTCCATGACTAGTCCATTTAAAAATTTAAAATTTGAAAAGTTTTCACAAAGTTCAAAAATGTAAAAGATTTTTCCCAAAATTTTCAAAAATTTTAAATCAAAAATTTAAAAATTGTAAACCATTTCAAAATTTCAATTTTAAAAAAAATAAATTTAAAAATGTAAATGGATTTTTTCAAAAAATTTAAAAATTCTAGAAATTCATTTAAAATATAATTTTTCATTTACAAAATTTCCAAGAATTTAGAAGATTTTTTTTAAAAAAATAAACTAAAGTTTTATACTCTTAAATGTTAGTCTTTTAGAATAACAGAATAACAGAGTTGGAAGGAAATTTGAAAGACTTCTAGTCCAATCCCCTGCTCATGTAGGAAACCCTATATCTGTGGCGGCAAACCTATGGCACACGTGCCACAGGCGGCACGAAGAGCTGTCCCGTTGACTGTGCCATTGCCACAGACAAAGGGACGCAGAGCCGGACTGCTCCCCTCTCCCTCTCCATGCATGCAGAGTCTGGGAAAGCTGCAAGAGCTGGGTGGGGAGAGGCTACAAAAGGAGCATGTTTTGGTGGGAACAGCATTTGGTGCAGAGAGGAAGTGAGCATGAGCGACCAGTGGTGAGTTTCAGTGGCTGCTGCTCTGAGCCCCTCAATCGGCTGGCCACGCAGGGGAGGAGGAAGCAAGGGGCCAGCGGGTATCTGGAGCACCTCGTCTGGACCTCCTGCCCACTCTCCCACTGGCCAGAAACCCCCTGGATCTCCCCCAACCCTGCCCAGCCCCCACAAGCAACCCTCCCCATGAGCAATATTGAGATGGCCATGCCCACCCTGGCCACGCCCACCCAATGGGCCATGCCGGCACTTGGCGATAAATAAGTGGGTTTTGGGTTGTAGTTTCAGCATCCAGTCTCTAAAAGGTTCACTATCACTGCCCTATACAATTTCGGACAAGTGACTATTTGTCTCTTCTTAAAAGCCTTCCAAGGTGGAGCAGCCACAACTTCTGAAGACAAGCAGTTCCACTGCTTGTTATCACTGTCAGGAAATTTATCCTTAGTTCAAGGAGGTCTTAGTTCTCCTTATGGTCCCTCTGTGGCTAATGTGGGGGTTGCCCTTTAGATTCAGTTTGTAACCCACAGAAGTATTAAAAAATAATAGGTGAATAAAAGATGAAAGGAAAAAATAATATTTCCGCTGACAGGAAAAAAAAATGAAATACCAGCTTGTAGTTAGTGTAAAAGAAGAGGTTCTTTCCTTGAAAAATCTTGTAGTCTTTATAGTTTGTAATCCACAGATAAAAGTAGAGTAATAATTGCAGATGAATAGAATCTACAATGTCTTATTGAAATTTATGTCAGTTTTACAATCCTCCTAAATTAGTTTACAATCCTCATAAGTTTGTAGTCTTGCTTTGTGATTAGAGTAAACAATCTTAGTTTCTAACAGCCAGAGAATCTAGAATGTAAGCAAAGACTTATAGTGTAAATACAGTCTTGATTAAATGATTGTTCAGTTTTCTTAGGATCATTCAATGTACATATACATATATGTTCAATATATATAAAATTTCATATTCAGTTCATTCAGGATTATTTCTTCTTCTTCTTGTGCCATATCCATTATCGGACGTTGGCGATCATGTTGGCGATCCTGTTTTTATCAGCAGCCGCATGAAAAAGTGCTGCTGAGTTTTGTCCAAACCAGTCCCTTAGATTTTAAAGCCATGATGTTCTTCTTCTGCCTGGACCTCGTTTGCCTTCAATCTTTCCCTGGAGGATTAAATGGAGCATGCCATATTTTTCTGGGTGTCGCATCACATGTCTGAAATATTCTAATTTTCATTTTTTAATTGTTTTGATGATTTCCCTTGGTTTTCCCAGGTGGCTTATCACCTCATTTCTGATCTTGTCAACCCAGCTTATACGTAACAGCTGCCTGTAAATCCACATTTCAAATGCTTCTAATCTCTTCAGCTGGCCTTCTGTCAGAGACCAACTCTCTACTCCATAGAGAAGGATAGAAAAAATATAGCATCTGACAAGCCTGATTTTCAGTTTTAGGCTTATGTCGTGGCTGCAGAAGAACTTTTTCATTTTGAAGAATGCTGTTCAAGCTTTTTCTATCCTTGTCTTTACTTCAACGGTCATGTCCCAGTTTTCATGTAAATTGGAACTGAGGTGTGTGATCCTTTCAACTTTTTCTAGTGGTATTCCTTCTGAATTTATTGGTGGTAAATTAACGGGTTGTTTGCTGATGACCATGATCTTGGTTTTTGAGGTGTTAAACTTCAAGCCGTGTTTTTCAGATATTTCTGAGACTCTGTTGATGAGGAGCTGAAGATCTTCATGCTTACTGGCAAGCAGAACTGTATCGTCAGCATATCTTAAGTTGTTGATACAAACACCGTTTAGTTTGATGCCAGCATCGATGTTCTCCAGTGCCTCGTGGAAGATTGACTCAGAGTAGATATTAAACAACAATGGAGACAGAATACATCCCTGTCTGACCCTCTTCTTATTTCTGCATCAGCTGAGTATTTTTGGCCTAGTCTCACATTTGCTACCTGATGCCAATACAGATTCTTTATTATTTGGATGTTTTTGTCATCTAGTCCCCCTTGTTTCAGGATTTCTAATAGTTTGCTGTGTCTTATTTTATCAAAAGCTTTTTTGAAATCAATGAAGCACATGTAAACCCTGTGATTGACATCTCTACAACGCTGTACAAGAACCTGGATGCTGAACAGCGCATCTCGTGTACCAAGATTGTTTCTGAAACCAAATTGTGTGTTACCTAGACGCTCTTCAATTTTGTTGCATATTCTTGTGTGAATATTATTTAGTTCATATAAAATATAAAGTACAATTCATAGATTATAATTCTTATAAATCCTTATAAATATGCAGCACTTGTGGTTGGAGAAAAAAAATGTTTGCAAATTGACTTGCACCTAATTCATTTTGCAATTATATCTTTCAAAGTGTGCACAGTTAATGGCAAAAAGAAGTACGCAGTTAATACTGAAAAATAAAAAAACAGTATAGTTTATGGAGAGAAGAGATAACGCCATTACTCAGCTGAACTGACCAGAGTAAACTTTACATCCAAATAAAACATTGTTTTCCACAAAGTCTTCTCTCCAAGTCCAGTCTTTTCTCTATTCACTTATTTTCTTGTGAGTGCAATTCTATGTATCCACAAGAAGGGGTGGGGTTTTTTTTTGGTGGCCTTTGAAGAAATTATTTCTGGTCATTGGTGAGAAGAGAGATTGTCACACTCTGTTCCCCATTCCCTGCCATAAATTAAATTCCATCCTATTCATTTCAGCTCTAGCTCATTTATGTCTTTTGGTGAATAATGAATTGACTAGTAATGGATTAAATAGAGCAGAAAAGTATAATGCATGCAAATTATTATTTAATAAAGAAACAAGAAAAATAAAGACATAACATATTAGATGAATACAAATAGACTACCATATCGTAAATGTTTCCACCTAATTCAAAAAGTATGGTAAACAAATAGGATTAACTAGATATCATGAAGAAGGAAAGCAAGTATGACATAATAGGGATTACTGAAACATGGTATATATCTGGTGGATGGATACACCTTGTTTCAGGGGGACAGGCAGGAAGAGAGAGGTAGTGTAGTGCTGTACATCAGAAATGAACTTGCTTGTAGAGAGGTCCACTGGCCTGGTGGTAACAATGCATCTGTGTTTAAAGATTGACAGGAATCCATTACAGACTGCCAAACCAAATCTTATGATGAAGATTAAAACAGATAAATCTCAAAAATATGGTGATGGTGAAAGCAGGACATATAGTAAGCATGCTAAACAAATAAAGTTGATGCCATTGGTCTATTGGTCTATTTTTAGGTTTTGCTTAGGTAATCTCAAATGTTCGGTCTTACCCCTTTTTCACCACGGTGTTTCTTGGGAATTTTGTTTAGTTTCCTATGATGATTCAAATATAGTTTTGTGCTCTTGAAAGATTCAAGTCTTTTCCTCATAGTTCTGTGAAAAATTTCTTTATTTTGCTTCTCATCTTCATTCAGAGTTATTTCATGACGGCTGTACAGAAGTTTTTGCTATAACAAAGGGAAAAAGAAGATGGCAAAATATATATCCATATTAAATAAATATATCTAGCTACATTTTTTATATTGTCCCATTTATAATTGCTTTGTTCCCATCAACCAGACGTGAAAATGTAAAAATCATGATAGTTAATACATGCTTAGTACATGTTGCTTCATAAACAAACAAAAAGAAATATAACTCAAACATCATATCTGGAAAATCCGACTATTTATGTATTTGATTTATATCTATCTGCTCTGATGAGAGCTCAAAGCAAAATCTAAAATCTAAAACAATAATGCATACTAAAATCATTTCTAAACACTGAGAAAGTGGGAGCCAAATACAACTCAAGGGAGTAGTATGGTCAAAGCCTGTTGTAAGGACCCACCCCACTTTGCATCTTAAGAAGACAGAACTCTTGGAATAATTCTTCCAACAGGAATCCTTTATTAAGAGAAAATGGTTGCAGGCATGCTAGACAGGACTTGGGGTTCAAGCTCTCCCATTCAAGGTTTTAAGGGGTTCCCCAGTAGTCCCACCCAATCAACCCCCCTTCCAGTGATAGTTTCAAGTATCACAATTCCACCCCCTTTCTTCTTTCTTCCGTCTGGATGGAGACTTCAGATAACTACATGAAAGGCAAATACCCTTCTTTGTTACAATAAACACACATTCAGCATTCAGCTCTTTGAAGTGTACTGAAGGAAGTGAGGGCCATAAAGCCCCTTTGTTCTCCCCCTTCTCTCCCTCTGATGGCAGAATCCAGAGAAGGCAGAATTGGGAGTTTCTATATTTGATAATTAAAGATGAAATATAATTGGATTCTGACATCCGGCCCCTCTTAAAAATAAGAGAGATCCACCTGCAAGAAAACAAAACAGGTATAAAAGTTAGTTAGGCTTGTTGGGATACTCTGTGTGAAACTTCTTCAATAGCTTCGGGGCTCTGACATGACGTTTATGGACCCACTCGTTTTGTGAGGCAGGGAGGTGTTTCCAGGCAACTAGGTACTGGGTTGCTCCATGATATCTCCTAGAGTCAAGGATTTCCTTTATTTCGAAGTGTTGTTCACCCTCCACCATGATTGGAGGTGGTGGGGGGGGATTTTTGGCCGTAGAGGTGACTGATGCTCTCTTTTCAGCAAGCTGCAATGAAAAATTGGGTGTATTTGCCTGAGATTTTTTGGTCATTCTAATTCTACTGTTACTGGGTTTATGATTCTTTTAATTGGAAAAGGCCCTATACATTTTGGTCCAAGTTTTTTACAGGGCTGTAGGGACTTTAGGTATTTTGTAGATAAGTACACCATTTCTCCTATAATGAATGGTGTAGGCTCAACCCTTTTTTTTATCGGCTTGTGCTTTGTATGCCTGCCTAGCTTCATCTAGTGCTTTTCTAACTATTGGCCAGGTGTCTTATAATTGTTCCATCCATTCTTTCCGTGATGGGATTGTTGGTTTGTTTGGGGTTAATTCTGGCATGGGGTTGAAACTTTGACCGCTGGCTATTTGAAAAGGAGTGTAGCCTGTGCTGGAGTGGACTGCATTATTGTAGGCAACTTCTGCAAAAGGGAGTAAGTCCGTCCAATCACTCTGTTGGAAATTTAAAAAACATCTCAAATATTGCTCAAGTACCGACTGGCACCGTTCCGCTTGTCCATCCCCTTGAGGGTGGTGGCTAGATGTCAATCCCTGAGTGGTCCCTAAGAGGGATAAAAATTCCTTCCAAAATGCAGACGTAAATTGCACTCCCCTATCAGAGATGATGCGTTGGGGTGCCCCGTGCAATCTGTAAATGTGCTGGATGAAAAGTTTTGCTAAGGCCTTTGCAGTGGGAATTTTTTGGCAAGGGATAAAGTGCACCTGTTTGGAAAATAGGTCCGTGACTGTCCAGATAACAGTATTCCCATTGCTTTCTGGCAATTCCACTATAAAATCCATGGCTATTTCCCTCCAGGGGGCTGAGGGACTTGCCACTGGTTGTAATAGCCCTGGCGATTTCCCTTGCAACCTCTTTGCTGATGCACAGGTTGGGCAGCTGGCAACATAACTTTCTATGTCCTTTTTTATTGATGGCCACCAAAATTGCCGTTTAATTAAGTGTAAAGTTTTTACAAATCCAAAATGCCCTGCTGATTTTGTGTCATGGCAAAGGTGCATGAAAGTTAGTCTTTGAGTTGTTGGTATATATAACTTTTCCCCTACCCAAGGCAATCCGTCTCTCATTGTGCACACATTTTTGTTTTTCTGGAACCATTCATCTGTTTCCAAACTTTTTCTGAATTCAATTCCAGTTTGGCTGTCCAGTTGTGGTTTTATTTTGGCTTGGGTTCTTGTGGTTACTGGCGCTGCCAGTTGTGACTCTGCCATTATTGGTCTAGAGTCTATGGTTCGTGCGCTGTTATATTGGGGCATGCGAGATAGTGCATCTGCCAGGAAGTTCTTTCTTCCTGGTAAATGTTTGAGCTTAAATTGGAATTGGTGAAAATGCTGGGACCAGCGGGCTTGTTTGGGATTGAGTTTCCTGGAAGTTTTCAGGGCTTCTAAATTTTTGTGATCAGTCCACACCTGGAAGGGGATTTTGTTGCCTTCCAGGAACTGTCGCCACGTGAGTAATGCCCAACGTATCCCATAAGCCTCCTTCTCCCATACGGGCCAGCGCTGTTCTGTTTCCGTGAGTTTCTTGGATGTATATGCACAGGGTTGCAATACTGCATCATCATTTTCTTGTAATAGCACAGCCCCCACTGCCACATCACTTGCATCTGCCTGTATTATGAAGGGCTTGTCCATGTCTGGGTGCCTTAGTACTGGTTCGGCAGAAAAAAGTCTCTTTAGTCTCTCAAACGCTGCTTGGCACTCCATTGTCCATGTTAGTGGCTGGCTAGGTTTTACTGAGGATGTTCCCTTCGTTTTTAGTAAGTTAGTGAGGGGCAAGGCTATCTGTGCAAATGAGGGGATGAATTGGCGGTAAAAATTTGCAAAGCCCAGGAAACTTTGTAGTTGCTTTCTTGTGCGGGGTGGTGCCCAATTTAGTACTGCTTTGACCTTCTCCGGGTCCATTTCAATGCCCTGTGGGGATATGCGATAGCCTAGGTAGTCTATCCTTTCCTGGTGGAATTCGCATTTTGAGAGTTTGGCATATAGGTGAGCGGCTCGCAGCTTCTTTAAAACCGCTCTGACAAGTTTGACGTGTTCTTCTTTTGTTTCAGTAAAGATAAGAATGTCGTCCAAGTAAACAAGGACCCCCTTAAATAGGTGCTCCCTTAGAACGTCATTGATTAATTGCATAAAGACTGCAGGGCCCCCTTGTAATCCAAATGGCAAGACTTTGAATTGATAGCACCCCATGGGGCAGTTAAATGCAGTCTTCCATTCGTCCCCTTCCTTGATTCTCACGCGATAGTAAGCTTCCCTTAGGTCTAGTTTAGAAAAAATTTTCCCTTTCGATAGGTGTGACAGCATGTCTTTCATGAGGGGCAGCGGGTATAGGTTGCTTTCACTGATTGTATTCAGGGCCCTATAATCCACGCATAAACGTAAAGAGCCATCCTTCTTCTCTCTAAAAAGGACCGGGGCAGCCACTTTAGGCTTGGCTGGCTCAATGAAACCTCTCTCCAGGTTTTTTTTTATAAATCTTTCCATTTCCTCCTTCTCCTTTGGGCTCATGGAGTATAATCTGGGCTTCGGGAGTTTTGCCCCAGGCTTGAATTCAATGGTACAGTCTGTGGGTCGGTGGGGGGGAAGCTCATTCGCCCTCTCCTCACTGAAGACTTCAGCAAGGTCCCTATATTCCTCTGGTATTTCTGTTAATCTTTTTTCCTCTCCTATGGATGCTTTTTCTATTCTTGATTCTGGTAGCCTCCCTTGGGGTTTTAAGTCCATAGGGTCCCCCTTCGGGAATTTGATTTCTGTCGTCCTCCAATTTACCCAGGGGTTCCATTTTTTCAACCATTCCATCCTTAGAATCATTGGGCATTCCATACCTGGGGTCACCACAAATGTTAAGTCCTCTTCATGGTTGCCCAGGGAGAGGTGTATTGGCAGAGTGGCTAGGGTAGCTGGCACCCCCCCTGCTATGGATCCATCTAGCTGGCCAAATGAGATTGGTTGTTCCAGTCTCCTGGATGGGATGCCCAGATTCCCCACTAGTGTTGGGCTAATGAGGCAGCGGGTGCAGCCAGAGTCTATTAAGGCTTTCACCTTCACAGCTTCGGGCATGGGGGGGATTAATATAGTCACTGTTTTGAAGATGGGTGTGATGCATCCACTTACCAGGGGTTCGCCCTCCGAGCTGTCATCTGAGGCATCCACCGTCCCTGTGGTGTAGGCTGGAGTTCTTTCCCCTTGGTGAGCAGAGGTGGGGGTTTCTGCAATTTCCATCATTCTCATGGCTGTTTCTTTTGGCTTAGCTGAATACTCTCTGGGTTTGTTGATTGGGGATCTGTCTGGGTTGTGCTGGGGGGCCTTTGAGCGGCATTCTACAGCTCGATGCCCTTCTCTTCCGCACTTGAAACACCCCATTTGCTTCTTGGCTGTATCCGATGATTTCACCGGTTGGTGTGTCAGCTCAGGGGGGGCGGCTCCATTGTTTTCTTCGGCGGTGCCTCTTCAATATGTCGATCTCTGCTTCCTCTGCCAAGACGTACCATTCCTCAAGTCGGTGTGGGTCCCCTCGGGGCAGGCAAGCATCATATAGATCATAGTTTAGTCCGTCTTTGAAATGGCCAAGGAGGATGTCTTCTGGCCAATTCAGTTTGCTGGCAATGGCCCGGAATTCTTGTGTATATTCGGCCACTGGGCGTTTGCCTTGCCTCATCGTTGTTATCTTTCACGGGCTTTGCGATCAGCCAGGGGGTCTTCAAATCGTCTTCTCAAAGAGGACATGAAACGGTTGAAGTTACTGAGTTCTGGGGCATTGGAGTCATGCAAGTTCACTACCCAATCCGCAGCTGGTCCATCCAGGGCAGATTGCACGATCCGGATGCGGGCTTTGTCGCTGGGAA